TTAATAATAGGAAAATAAAAAGAGAGGATGGACCACATTGGGTACTCGTCCGAGAAGAGAACAAAAAAATAAAAAAAAACGTACCTAAGGAAAAAATATTATACATATATGTATGTATATACGTAAAATGTAATATAATAATAAATGGTGGCCATAAGACAACCGAGGAATATGCTAACGAATGAATGACTATCTTAAAAATGATCTTGACGTGCCCTCACGATGATTTATCATTTTTTTTTCTCTTCTCTATGCTCAGCACTATGGGCACACACCACCACTACCGTCGCCACTGCACATATAGCCACCCGCCTGCCAATTGAAGTCCCAAGACCATTAGAACCGACGGTTTTCAAAAGGAAAACATTCCATTTCTAGTTACAGTAAATATATATATATATATATATATATGTATGCATGTATGTGCATATACAACACATGCACCTCCGACTTACACGGATAATAGAAATGCAGCCACTATATATACCAATCAAAAGGATTATTATTGTATTTTTTTTTTTATCTTATTATTATTATTATTTCTTTTTAGTGTGTCTTGTGTAAGTATATAGCCGCACTATTATATTTAACATGTTTCGGTGAAAAAAAATAATAATAACAAAACAATTTTTTTTGGACACAGTTGAATTCGATGCATTTGTATCGCAGCATTATGTGTGTATCACTATCGGCGTGCCCCCGGGGCTTGGCTTGCTTGGCCGTAGCACACACACAAGAGTTGCAACACTTTAAAATAACTTCCTACGGTTCTTGCAACGCGTGTGACGACCACAAAAAGACTAATTAAATATCGTGGCGAGTTCACATGTTGGGTGGATACGTCCGAACCTAATCTGAAGAGGGGAAAAAAACAAATTAAACAAGGCGTTAATATCGGAACCTCCCACTACGGGCTAACTCTAGGCAATAGTTTAACGAGCAGTGTAAATAGCATTGTGGTAATAATATATAATATTATTCTTCATAGTGAAGAATTTCTGATATAGCTGTGGCTGTGGCTGTGGCTGTACCTTGGGAACAAAAGATTCCGAATAATTTTGCCCGTAACAATACATAAGCTATCATTTTGTAATTTATTTTTAATTCATCCTTCGGTTAGCTTGAAAAACGTACCGCGGTGCACGGACACTAGGATACTATAAAGGCAGAACGCTAAAAAAATAATAATAATAAATTATTACAGTAGTATTGGCATATAGTGATTTCTTAGAATCCAATACGCATTTTCGGGATAGCTTTTTATTAAACATTTTTTAATTTAATAAACCAACATCATTCAAACAAATCATGAATCATGGTCAACAAATCGGGCTGTCAGTGCGTAGGATGCAATGTTGACTTGGTCATATTGTTATAATTTTTCAACTAAGTATCTCTGTTATAGCTGGGCTATTTTTATTGTTAAAAAAAATGTCTTTAAACTTTATTAAAAACAACGTGCAGCAATGTTAGTTGGTCAATTGACTTTTAAAGGTTTAAAAAGACTTAAAAATACATTTCTACTAGAACTGAACTTGTAAATCCGGTAAGACCGCTCCCTGAAGATATTATGTTATTTGTTTTAATGTTCACCCCAAAATTGACTTTGAATTGATAAAAAAAAAATCCATAAACAATAGCATTCCAATTTATAGATAATTGTTGTAATAAAAAGTAATAATACAAAGTTATTTACATTATATTGTAGAGATATTATAACTTTCGGATACTGACCATTGCGGGTTAGCTAATTAAATTTAGATTATAATTTATGATTGCACACAATTGTTTAAGTCGTTAATACATATTATTGTCGAGAAAGATAAAAGTTAAATCGAGTGAGAAAAAGTCTAGTATAAAAATAGACCACATTACAAGAGTAATTTTTAACCGCAAATCGAGGTAAACGGTCAGAATGATATACTGATTTGTGTGACGACAAGAGCGGTCATTAATAATCCTTTTTTTAGCTTCGATAAATGTAGCTAAAAGAGTACATTATATCTATTTCTATTTTTTCGGTTGTCTGCAAACATCTTTTAAATGGTTATGCAATAATGGGTTTGTTGAACTCATTATTGAACAAACACAAAAAAAAAACCATTAATAAACATTTCCACAAAACCCAAAATACTTGCGATTAACAATTAATTAATTATTTTAAGAAATTGTACTTTAAAAAATTATCTTCTTCTTTTAAGAACTTACTCTGTAACATGAACGAGTAACATATTATTATACTCCATACAGCAAAAGTAATGCAAAATTTTACTGTACAATGTAATCAGTTGGAGTACAAACTACATATATAAACCTTTATATTTTATATAATAACATTTAAATACTTAAGCAACGTTATTTGATAAGCTGGTTTTCATTGTACAAAGAAATTGTCTAATTACTTGACCTACAATGATAATAATATGGACAATTGATGTAAAACTCAAGTGTTCTCACCTTGGTTTGATTTATTTCTTGACATTCTAAAACGGCCTTATGAGACACGTTGTGAGTACCTCTTTATGCACCTTGAATACGTCATGATAGAATCAATCTCAAGTTTTTAGTTATTATCAACGAAATATATTTTGAATCTAATGAGTTGGAAAAAAAAAATGTTCAGAAAACTTGACAACAAATTAAATATTATTTTTTATGGTTATAAATTTACCATTAATATTACCATCATGTTGTTGTAAAATATCTTTGGGTGAGGTTTTGCACGATAATTTGTTTTTTTTCTTTCTTAATTCCTCCTGTTGACTTGTTAACATAATAGACGTGTTTCGCCATTCGTTAGGTTAGGTTAGGTTGTTACTTTTAACCGCACACTACTATTAACATATTATTCAGTTGTCTCCGCCTTGGTCATAATCTCCTCCTGGCTGATTTTTGTCGTTTTTCCCACGACTCCTCCTACTCATGCGCACTGTCTCAATCAAAGTAGTAAGACATTTTGTGGCCTTCACGCATATTTCTTTTGATCGTCGACAGTAGGTATAAGTAGAAAAATTCTACAATATCCACTCACCTTGGGTTGTTACGCCCACTCCTCTTCGGTAATTTCTATTATACCATCATGTTTCCCATTACGGATGATGATATTATGTAAACAATATTCATTTATTTTAACCGCAAAAGATGAGTAAAACTAATAATTGTTTTCCAGATATGTTACATTAATGTTTCTCTACAACTCTTCGTTGATAGTGCCTATCATTTGACTTACCCAGTGGACTTCATTAGACAACACAGCTTTAGAAGCTAAAGCCGAATAAGTGAAAACGGCTAAGGTCTGACTCTATAATTGTTTTTAATAGGCGGTTAAAGCACTCCAACAATACACCCACTCCTCGACCCGTTGACATCAACGATTTGAAGTGCAGTTTCATGATCGTGGATTTCTCGGGGTTTCATTAACACAAAACCAACGTACCTAGAAAATAATCATTTTAAAACATTTACTAAATTAATTTCATGTTCATTAAAATGTAGTTGGCCAAAAGTACACCTGCTATAGGTTCCTGGTTACATTGACTTAATAGAATAACAATTTATACTTTACTTCAATAATAAACAATAATTTTCCGTGCACGAAAATGCTCTCAAAATGGCGTTTTTATCGAATACAGATTGAGATTTTTTGTAAAACTCTAACAGCTTAGTCCACGTGAATTCATTTCCTTTTCAAATTCCAACACAAAAAATAGATTACTTCATCTCCGACGGTATACTAAAAATATACCAGAAAAATTCTACATTAGGAACTTCATAAAAAAATCACATAATATAATACCTTTAAAATCAGCTCAAGTCATAATGTTGTAGTAATAATTATAATCATTATTTTTGTTAGCCGCGTGCAATGTTTGTTATAACAAAAGACAATCATTTTCTAATATAACCAGCGACACATAAGAGTTATTGACCGTAATACATACTATTATCTTAAGACGCGTCGAATAATAATAAAATGATGATTATTCATTTTTCCCATTAATCCGAAACCCCTTTTTAATACGATCGTTTTAACGTGATTAATTATTATATTCTTATATGTGATAATATTAAAATATATATTATTATTACTCCGTTCGCCGCTTCCCGCTGCTGTTTCTCCGTCGCCTTATGGTCAGTCGCCTTATTATTATTATTATATTATTGTGTATTACACATGTACAAGCGAAAACAGCTCTCCGGACGGAACTGGAATCAAAACGAGAAGGTTAGGTCGATTGGAGATGTGAGCTGACAGAAATTTTAACGAGAACCACCGTTGTGATTAATGACGCTTTTTTGAGAGACTGTCTATAATATTATACACGGGCAACGAGAGAGACGATAATGCTGCTGGCATATGTATGAAAAGAACGCACACATTACACATACATATTATAGGTACGCCTCAAATTCGGATATTATTATATTATGCTGACTGACGTACAATAATGCGGTATGTGGATAAACACACACACACACACACACACTAGAACCGACCAAAACGATTAATAATGGACATGAGTATTTTTTTGGAGACTATATTGAATCGGTCCAAGTACACAGCTATCGACGTACAACGATGACAATATTGTGCTTAAGTACCGGTTTTGCAGAGACATCAAACGACTGCTAGTTGTTTGTACACTGTACATATTGTTTTGCACCCATGACGGAGGAAAAAAATCCTAAGAAACCGTCATCTTAGGCTTGGGGTTCCAAAAACCATAAAACTTAATTTATTTATATTTCAACAAATCTGTCACTAAAAAATAAATGTAGACAAAGCACTAATTTTAAGTTTTAAGCTTTTTCGTATCCCAAGCCCCCCTTCTCTTGATTTATGCCAATAAATATTTCACATAGGTAATATTTTGCAAACCAAACCGGTAACCTAACCGTCCAAATACTTGATGGACATCATTAATAATTATACAATTTAATAAGCCCCCACTAAAGGAAATGACAGTATTGCCATTATAGTGACAGTCAGTAACTAACTATTCAAAGTCAATACACTTTATTAAACAAAACAAAAATACAAGGTAAAAATATTCGATAAAAAAAAATATTTAAAAATAAACGATCACGATCAACAAAAGAAATAAAAAATTGTTTTTAAAAATAATTACAATTCTAATACAATATAATATTTGGTCTGCCTCCTAGAGCCTTGTCAATTTTTTCGCCATCACGTCCCGACCAGGCCAAATTTGTTTGGATTTTACTATACTCTTGATCGTACAATGCCCTCATGTCCGCGGGTGCCGACCGTCTGATTTTATCCATCTTAAAATGAAACGAAACAAATAAGAATAATATCAAGAATTTTATTTGATAAAAAAAATGTATTACACGAACAGTCAAAGAGAACAATCATAATAATTGCCATGTCTTAAATTTTAGAAAAAACTGTCTGCTACTCAATTTTAATGGGAAATTCATAATGTTATTTTTTTTTTTAGAAAAAGATATGTTGAAAATTAATGTTTCTCTACAACTCTTCGTTGGTAGTGCCAAATATTTGACTTACCCAGTGGACTTCATTAGACAACACCACTTTAGAAGCTAAAGCCGAGTAAGCGGAAACGGCTATCTGTCGGCTAATGTCTGACTCTATGATTGTTTTAAATAGTCGGTAAAAGCACTCCAACAATACACCCACTCCTCGACCGGTTGACACCAACGATTTGAGTGCAGTTTCATGATCGTGGATTTCTCGGGGTTTCATTAACACAAAACCAATGTACCTAGGAAATAATCATTTTAAAACATTTACTAAATTAATTTCATGTTCATTAAAATGTAGTTGGCCATAAGTACACCTGCTATAGGCTCCTGGTTACATTGGCTTAATAGAATAACAATTTATACTTTACTTCAATAATAAACGTTCATTTTCCGTGCACGACAATGCTCTCAAAACGGCGTTTTTATCGAATACAGATTGAGATTTTTTGTAAAACTCTAACAACTTGGTCCACGTGAATTCATTTCCTTTTCGAATTCCAACACAAAAACTAGCTTCTTTCATCTCCGACGGTATACTAAAAATATACCAGAAAAATTCTACATTAGGAACTTTATACAAAAATCAAATATTTTACACATAACTGTGTTTTGTTTTTAAACATAATTGACATGATCTATTTTAAGTAAACTCGTAGACAATAATCATTTGAAAGCTCAAAACATTAAATGATACTTCAATAATAATCACTTAAGATAAAGCAAATATTATATCATAGAAATAAATTAATTCATTGATGGATTCTAATACATCAATTGTGTCGAGTGTCATGCCCTCAACGGTTAATCTCGAAGTCTAAAGTAAATATCAAAAACCACCATTATTATTGTACTTGATATCGAAGTCGATTAATTGCAATACATTTAAAGATAACAGCTGGATATTGTTCCTAGGATAGTGCAATTAATCCTACTTAGTTCATATTATTATCATACAATGAACTTTAAAATTAGAAAATACATTCAATACATCCACTAGTACTACGTTTAAAATAATAATTGTATATGCAAAGGCGATTGACTTACTCGTGTCCATTTTCCCACGCATTGAAATATTTTAACGCTGATTCCACACAAACTTGATTTCCAAGTTTACAAGCCCAAGCCGATAGCACGTGCCAACCGAATTTATTTGAGTTATCATCAATTTGATTGATATTTTTTCGGGTATCCAACTTTTTAAAGGCTATTCCCGATAAATTAATTGCATAGCTCTGATCGAACGAAAAACGCATTTGATGTAATTGAAATAATGAATGTGGCATAATAAGACCTTGCACTTACGTTTAGCTTTTTGTACTCATTGGGAAACGACCTCATTGCGTTCATGGTGGACTCCAATCCATTCACGGCCGAATTCCATGGAACCACATGATCTTCCATCATAAGGTATTCGAGCAATGAAAAATAATAAGTATACGGAATTATGTTAGCCCTTGCCAGGTGATGAGCATCGTCTATAATCTGAGCTCTATTCAATGGGTGTATTTTTTCGGGATCCGTCATCAGCTGGATCAACAACAGTTTCCAGTTATTCTCGTCATAGTTTACTCTGTAGTAGCCTAAGGAAAAAACGGTCACCATATCCATTAGTATATTGACTCCAAGTCTGCCAAAAAAAAATCCCATACTTACCAGTCGACTGTAGGTTGAAAATCATCCATCCAGAGTCACTGTGTAACGGTATTACAGCATTTTCTTGGGTTGGTTTCAGCCAGACGGTCGGTGCGAGTTGGTCGAAACGCTGATCCTTTTCCGTCGTGAAGGTCAAGCCAACGAACCACTTTGTATCGTCAACTTCTTCAGGATCCGAAGCGTAAAATCTTTTCTGTAAAAATCGTTACACAGATTTTCATGAAAGTCTAAGAAAACCCGTTGGCTCAAAGGTACTTGGCTAATGACGACGGAGTTGTTCGACGAGACTACGGTGATCAACGGATATCCAGCTTGTTCGGACCACAAGTACATGGTATCGTTGACCGTCACGTCATTTCCGGAATCGTTTCCGGAATCAAATCGGACGTTATCAAACGACGACCACAGATCGTGGGGTGCCGCTACGCCGTATCTTAAAAATATAAAAATCCACCGTTTAATTCAACAAGTAAAACCACGGATATCGTGCAAGATCATAACATTATGGCATTACGAGTAACTGTCGAGGTAGTCGATCAGCGATGCACGAAACTGGTCGTCGCCAACCGTGTGTTTTAGCATTCTGAATAACGCTGCGCCTTTGTTGTACGACAGACAATCGAAAACGTCTTCAATTTGCTCCGGGTCTTGGACGGCGACTGTCAACTTGTGTGAATCCGCGTATTCGTCCCAGGCCAACGCTCGCTGATGGACTTTTGAGACGAACATCCCTTCCAATTCCCATTCTGGTTCAATCTAAATGTCAGATAATACAAACAACGGTAATATTCTGTTGCTTGTGTGCTACTAATTTATGATATACCATGGACGTGGCGTAATACTTCATATAATGACCGATTCCCTCGTTCAACCACGCGTAGTCCCACCAAGAGCACGTTACCAAGTTACCAAACCATTGTCGCGAAATCTCTCGTTGTAGGACCATCGTGCCTAATAGTTTGTCTTCCGTTTGGGAATCGTTCGACAGTGACGTGTGCAATTCCCTAAGGGCCAAACACATTCAGTACTCAGCGATTGTAAAATAAATAATTGCGCTGTTAGCAGCTCAAACTTTTAAAAAGCTAACAAAATTTCGGACTTCTCTAACAACGACCAACACATTTGTCGGATAAATTCTGCTAAGTTTGTGAAGGTACTGCAATAGCTTAATGAACGCAGCTGTTTAAACTTCAAATTGACTCACCCGTAGGAATTCAAGCCCCAGTTTTCGACGTTGTCGATGTTGGTTTTCGGGACGCTCACCATATCCAACTTGGGTAACATGTAAGGTATCCGAGTGTAATCTTCCATGAACCGCAGCAGCTCCGGCGCTTTGTCCACCATGTAACCCGTATGGCTAATGATTTCTTTGCGCGCGTACATGGTTATCATTCCGTTTACCGACTTTTCGAAATCCGACACCATAAACGCCACCATGTGTGTCGGCATAGGTTTTGTAACCTCGAAATGGTCCCAAATCAAACCGGTATCGTTGCTGTAAAAGTCACTTAATAACTGTCACATACAATATCAATTGAATGTGCTGGCTTACTCGAATTGGCTGAGATCTAGAGGCATGTTGGACAGAGCCAAATGGCCGGGTTGTCTTGCAATAGAAATGGCAAAGGTCGATTTGAAAATAGGTTCGTCGTAACACGGGAACGCTCTTCTGGTGTGAGCAGGCTTGAAACGAGTCACGGCTATCCACCTGTATTAACAAGACACCACGATTATCACAATATTTATCACTCTAGTACAATAGTAACTATGCTAATGTATCCGTAATTGCCTGGCGTTGTCTTTGGTGTTGTACGATTCCCTGTGGAATCCTGTGAAATCATTCCTGAGGATTCCGCTGAATTTGACCGTGAATCTATACCGCCTTTTTGCCAACAGAGCTGTCTGCAGCGTGATCACAAGCTGTTGATTTCTTTGTACCGACGCGAAGCTCTTGACCGGCACAAAACGTTGGGATTTCAAATCTTGAAATTCGGAAACATCCGACACGTCGAGATCGTCAGAGTTCAGCACTACAGTGTAAGTGTAAAGTTTCACCGCGATGACGATTTCGACTTGGCCGGAAAAGCTAAATCTGTTGTTGTCAGGGTCTACCATGGGCGTCATTCGCAAAGCGTACGACTCCGGTTTCGTGTGGTCCGGTAACCGGTAGACGTCCATAGCCCCAAAGGGTCCTGCATTTCCAAGTAAAAAACTATTGGCTGCCCAAATGAAAAACAAACTCTGGGTGTATGAAATCATCATTTTTGTTGCAAATCCCGGCAGCGACTGATTCGATTTTCAAAGCCAATAATCGCGCTAATATCGACAAACCAAACGACAACAGTACAATAACTATGTCAAGTAGAATATTTATTTAGTTGACTGTTGTTATTATTATAAGAGGCGAATTAGCGCTAGTCTTTTTCGCACAAGTAGCTCTTATGAGTAGATTATAATATTGAAATACCTTTATCTGTAAAAAAAAACCAAACCTATTAGGGTTGAGTGTGAAAAAAGCCAATTGAAGTGCGATGCGAGAACAATAACAGCTATTGGAATTAGCCGAGATTGTGGTCGTCAATCATATTATATTTAACGGCCGAATGAATTATATTGATGATCGGTAGTCGTTTTTTACCCTAACGGAAAATCAGTTAAAATATTAATTTCTAAAAAAAAATATATAATTATATTAAACATTTAAAAATAGTTATTTGTATTTGAAACGTGACCTTTAAAGGTCTGACAAGAACTGGTGTTTTTAAAACAAACATAAGAAATGTATTTTCCAGTCGTACTAATCAATAAACATAACGCAATAATACTTAATAAATCTGTGTAACTTAAAGTGTGAAACTTTAAACGCGTTTTTATCTGCTCTATGTTTCCAAAGACGGTGACCAATGTGTTTTAAAAACCCCACTCGACGGATTCCAATGAAATTTATACAGCACATTCTATACAATGAAGAACTAGTGCTTAATTAAAGGACTTCTTTTTTGGATGAATACTTTTTTTTTATAAACAATAAACAAGCGTTTATTGTTTGTTATAGATGCCTATTTTTCAATCTTCTGATTTATTTATTTTGCGTATTATATTATTATTAAAAAGGTCACCCAAAATTTAACAAAAATTAGTTATTAGTAATTATTTCAAATTTCAATACAAGATAATATTTTTTTAAAACTATTTTTCAGTATAATATAATAACTTTATGAAGTTACATATTATATTTGTAGATATCCTGTAAATAATACTTACATACTTAGACTCGCCCAATTATTGTAGTCATTGCGAATAAAATTTTTGTTTTTCTGCTTTAGGGAAATGCAATACACCTATGCGCCGACTAATCGCATTGAACAGGTAAAATCTGAAGTGTTTATACACAATGTATCTGTCACAAAACGTTTTGCATACATCCGCAGTGTATTATACAACATTAGAACAAGTAATTGTTCATATAGTAGCATTATACCACATAAGCATAAGTAATTTAATAAAATTAAACAATCAAAACAAAAAGAATACTTAAAAATGTATATGTAAAGAGGTTCATCGGAAAGTCATATTTGTTTATCGAAAATAACTGTAAACGGCTAGTAGAAATAATTGTATACTTTTATTTTTTAGTATATTAGAAAATATATAATAGGAACATACACTTGTGTAACACTTCATAATAGTTTCCTTGTTTTTCTCTGAGACTGTACAGCATATGAGTAATTTAATTTTAACCAATACAAAAAATTTATTTATGTTTTACTATTATATAAAAATTATTAATTTCCACATTAATGTTAAGAATACATTTGAATATTTTAGAACTACTTAATTACATAAAATATATAATCATCTCAACATAGAATCGTGTGGTTTAATTTTAAATTAAACTAGTTAATATATTTTAAATACTATAGCTATAAAAAATTATTACATTATGATTTCTGCTTATGGTAAATATTTATTTATAGATTCGGAATATCTATCATACCAATTTTGGTTGTCCACAATATAATCGCATAATGATCTGAAGATCGTCTTTAGCAAATATGATTCGGTTATGCTAACTCTTAGTTCTCCCACCTGAAAACAAAACAAATTTTAAGTTATTAGATGCTTAAATGAAAAAAATATATAGTTATTTCTACTATTTGTATGTAATAGTTAGTATGTACTTAATGATTAACTGATAGTGCGGTCAGAAGTTTGGTTTAAAATAAATAGTTAACCTTAATAAAATATATTATGAACGGTAAACGATACATATATGTATAAGGCGAAGGATAAAAACAAATTGCCCGATATAATGCAAGCAAAACATATTATTAAATAGGAATGATAGAAATAATTAATTGATGTTTAATAATTAAACAAAATATGTTAGGTAATATTTCAAGTAAATCTACAATTTTTGTAAAACCTGTTCTGTCTACGTCTAAAGAGTATTTAATGTTTTAAAATTTTACCTTATCGATTTCTTCTTTCATTGCCACTTTAGAAGCCAATATCGAAAGAATGTCTTTGGCTATATTCAATCCGTCTGGCATCTCGTTATAGATTTTGTTCACATTTTCGCGAAGAAAATCTATCAAAATATTTAAACCTCGAGGTGTTGTGGCCACCGAAGTAAAAACCATCTTAAAATCTTGAGGTCGTATTGGTTCTTGATCATCAAATATAAAATTTAAAAACCTAAAAAATCATACATATTTTAAAAATATTTGTTCTCATATTAATAACAATTAGAAGCCCAAGTAGAAACCTAAGTTTGGATCCAGATTTATTGTAACAGCAAGTAATACTTGTTATGTTAACAGGAATTGATCTTATGATCTATCTAAAAGTCCAATAGATCAATTATGTATTCTATGTACACATTAATAGTAATTAGTTAAATGTTCTCTGTCTTAGTGTGTTATTTGACTAGTACAATAGGCGTTAAAAATAAACACCATTTATGTAAGGCAATAAGTAGTTTTTTCATTTACTTTTTGAGTAGATCCGAGTCTTCGGTGCACGCTAAGGACATTAATGCAGACTGCCTTTCTGCCGCTGATTTGGTGGTTTTGTACAAGTTTAATAACTTTTCCCAATTTTCTGACGTGTTACTGTTCTGCAGTCCGATACAGAAGGCTGCATCTTTAATGTCAGCCGGTATACTAAAAACACACAGTATCAATGAAGCTTCTCATTCGATAAATTTTATTTTAATTAGAATAATCGACCGCAATTATAGCTGTTACCTTTTGCCACTTAACCATAGCTGGAAATATTTCAATACAGATTGTTTACAGTACGCATTATCTAATTTGCAAGCCCACACAGAAAATATATTCCAGCTGACATAAACCGATTGTTTTTTATTTTTCTTTACCGTCACTAAACTCTCTACTTTTTTGTAAATGGTTTCTGCCAAATTACTAACGTACGCCTAGAAAATAAGTGTGTTATCGTTGTGCATTTGACAGCTGTTACAAAAATATAAACAAAATGAGAAGAATTTGAAGAATAAACTAAACGAAGACATTAAATATAAATAAACAAGAGTGAAATTTGGCGAGATTAGAAGGTCAACGAGGTACAACTTATGACACACTAGACTAAAAAACCCATACCTTGATTCTGTTATATCCGGTGCTTGGTCTCATCCGTTCCAAAATGAATGTAAAGCAGTTCATGGCAGAATACCACGGCATGACGTCGTCTTCGTTTCCCAGATATGTGGACAATTTCACAGGCACCGAGTAACTTAGTTTTCCCGCCCTGGCAAGATTAAACGCGTCGTCTATAAGTTGCGCTCTGTTCAGCACGTGAACGGCTTCTGGAGAACTGTTCAATTGCTTTATCAGTGCCATCCAGTTTGGTTTGTCGTAGTTTACCCTGTAAAATCCTAATGACGGAATACAACGTGCGAATGCATTACAATGTTGGTGTAAATAAGAGTGGTAGGGGTAGATGGTATATGTTCTTTACCGGATGATTGTAAATTGAAAATAAACCATTTGTAGTAGTCCGGGGCCGGTATCACGGTTCTGTTCATGGACGGTTTAAGCCACGTGGTCGGGTTTAGATTTAAAAAATTTTGGCTTTTGTCCGTCGTGTGGGTGAGGCCGATGTACCATTTTCCCGTTTTAATGCGGCACTCGAACGATGCAATGTCGGACGTGCCGAGAGGTTGAATCAAAAACCGTTCCTCAAAAGCAAGAAAAATGTCTCATAACAATACAGAAATCGAAGAGAAAAAAAAATACCGATTAAATTACTTGGGTCACGACAAATGAGTTTTCGTTTTGTACCACGTTGATCACTGGATAACCGCATTGTTCAGTCCACGAGTCCATGACAACGTGTAGTGGTTCATCTTCGAAGAGGCTTTGGTTTGCACCGGCCAATGCGCTTTCAAACGCATTCCACAAATCATGTTGGCTCACTACTTGATACCTTAAGGTTTACACGAATAGTTGATTTTATTAGACATAACTTGGGTGGATTTTGTCGAAATGATGAAACCAACCTTGTCCGGTGGACTTTTTGAAAATTGTTCTAGCACGTTAAGTTGCTGAGAAAATAAATATTAAAGTCGAGGAAAACCCTAAAAACCTGCTATTTATAAAACAATTTCTGAAATGATAAATGCCTCATAACAATATTTGAGCCGCTCAGATGCCACTTTTTTTTAAATTGCGAATAATATCATGGTTGGACTACAAAAGTTTATAATTTTCAGTGATCAAGATGAATAACTCCGTAGTTGAATTTTTCACCATTAGAGTGCGCTGAGTACATTGGCAATTGTATTTACATGCATTGTTTCAAATAACTTTAACTGCCTGTCCTGAACAATTTTATTTTTGGACTTGAATCAGTTTGGCTTCTGAGCGCCTCAATTATAGCAGAACACCTTAATTGTTTTCCCCGATTTTAACATTTATTTTCTCAGAAACTTGACGCGCTAAGACAATTTTGAAAACATATTCGTATTTCTTGTGCGAAAATCCATCGGTCACACAGTTGGTTACATAGTTTGGACAAAACCACTCACTTGTATTTGCTTATGTAATGGAACAATGCGTTCTTAAACACATTCTCTCCGATGTAATCGTGTAACATTCTCAAGACTGCACTGCTTTTGCTATGCGACAACCTCCAGGGTATGCCGTTGATTTCTTCGGGAGTGCTTACTGTTCTCGACATGGAGTCTCTAGGCACCTGGTCGTATTCCAAAGCCGGTTGGTGTTGGTACACTACGAAAAAACCGTCTAAACACCAATTGGGTTCCACCTGTAGAGCCAACAACAATCATCACGCCAAGTTTATCGATGCAAACGTTAAACCAACCGACCAACCTTGGCGGCAACAAAGTAAGAGAAAAACGTGGGGAACCCTTCGTTTATCCACAAGTCTTCCCACGTGTTGGGTGTTACCATACCGCTAAACCATTGATGCGATATCTGATGTTGCATGACTTTGGTCGCCGAAACTATAGCTTGGGTGTTGGACGCTTCGTCGACCAGAGCCGAACTTTCCCTAAGCACAACATCACTTTATAATCAACATATATAATTATTATCGAACGAAAAGAAATTGTACCCTTACTGGTAGATGTTCAAGCCAAAGCCGCCGCCGGTTTCCTTAAATTGGACATTCGGAATGGCTATCAAATCTATTTTCGGGGTTCCAAATTGTACACCGGTATAGTTTTCCATGGCTTCGAGCAACAACGGCGCTGCCACTGAAGCGTATTTAGTCTGATCGACAAACTCGGGATGTGCGTACACTTTAACATTAGCAGCGTTAGTAGGGAGGTGGCTGAAGTCGCCGACCACAAATGCCACCAAGTACGACGATAAGGGCGGTGTCGTTTGAAAGTGTACCCAAGTGTATTCGTCGCTGAAAGACACCAATTGTGTAGACATCAAATTACAATTTGGATGAACACTTCACTTTGAAAACTTGTCGACGACTTACTCGTATGATTTGTACCATTCTGGCATATTACACAATGCGATTTGATTTCCCTTTATACCCACTGTTACATTAAATGGGGTCTTAAACCTTGGATCGTCGTAGCAAGGAAATGCGCTTCTCGCGTAGGTAGCTTTAAACTGTGTTGCAGCCACCCACCTGGAAACATACGTTGCGGTTTTAACAGTATTTGGAAAAAAAGGAATACCAATAATTATTTCTTATCCAAATAGACAATAGTTTTCTGACCATTGGTATTTTTAATGGATAAACACTAAAAACTAATAGTTAGAATCAACCAGACGGTATCAAGCCTAATAAAAATATTATGATAAATATATTGTTTACTCAAAGCCAAAGACAAAACCCTTTCTTTAATAATTAAATCTAACCGAATTTTACTGATTACTTTATGAGTTAATTAGCAATTCGCATAGTTACAATAATATGTTATTGGTAATTGAAGATTCCACCAAATTACAGTAGTTTCTATGATTGGTTTTTTAACACTTGCTGTGCACTATACATTTTTAATAGCTGTTGAATCACATATTGGACGATTGCAGTTGAATATATTAATTATTATCGCTTTTAACACATTTTACTTAGAGTTAGATACTGAAAAGAGGTGAGGAGGTAATTGTTTATTACAACGATAATATATTATGTTATTGTTGGTTATTAATCATCATACCGTCACTCCGCTTAATCTAAGCATTTTGGACAAAAGATCAATTATTAATACTACTGAAATTATCATAAAAAATAATGTCGATAATATGTTATAATTATTATTAGATTTAAATTTAAAAAATATTAACTTAGTATATACTCTAATGTACATTATATTTAGGACTAAGTAAGTATAGAAATAGTGTGGCTAATTAAGTGGCCAGTTAGTTAGTACTACACAAAACAAGTGTTGTCCAATGACGTGGAACTTTAGCTGCAATTTAAAGCTGAAAAGGCGTTTGAATCACCGTGTAAAAACTATTACTTCCAATACCGGTAGTTTGGATTGATAATTAACAACTAAAAAAAAAAAACTACTCACTGTCTTGTGGAGTTTATGAGGTATGAACTTTTGTAAAAACCGGTCATGTCGTTTCTGAGATATCCGTTGAACTTCACGGACAACTTGTATTTGTTCTCGGCCTCTAGCGTGGTGTTGGTTTTAATTCTGATTTGCTCTTGCGGATTTACCAGATAAATCCAATCGTTCACTTTGATTTCTTGTCGGTCATCCCGATCCGTCACTTGGATCGACGTGATGTCCAGATCTTTCGAGTTCAAAACGATCACCGAAGTAAACGATTTTACCAGTATCACAATGTCCACGGTGCCGGCGAAAGTGCCGTTGCCTCTGTCAAAATCCGGCGCTATTGTCAAGTCATACGACACAGGTACCGTGTCTTCTGGCAAATGCACACTTAGTCCATGCAAGCCCTGGACCAAGGCACACGTTAAGAAAACCCACGGCAACATCTTGCCACGACTAAATTGCCAGATCAACTGAACGGCTAACGGGTATTAGTCATAATCACTAATCACATGTATATGCGCACGGAATCAATTATTATTATCTCGGTAAACCGATAGTTTATTATGGTTGCTTTATTCTGACCACATATTGTGTTATTTTTTAAACCCATTATACCATAAAATAAAGTTTCAATGTGGTATAACTTCTCTGGAAAAATGTATTAGTACCTCGATAATCCTGAGCGCATGTTGCAAAGCTATGCATCAACTCCAAAGGTTTTTTTTTATACAACTTATACAACGATTAGTCATTAAATAATTGTTATGTTAGTTTGCATCAGACATCTGTCAATTATTTAATTTGGTTAAACGCTCAGCTGTAAAATGCCCATATTTATTTACTGGTATAAATCTAATTGTGTGGAAAATATTTGCTACATTTTGAGAACTTCCCCAAATATCCATTACTGTTACACTATCATCTTCTCCGGAGACATTGCTACCTAACTAGAGATCTACAGAATTAATATCTAAAAATTATATGTTTTATCACAATTTTACACTGTCGTTAAGTAGAAAAATAAAATGTAAATAAACTTTAGTTTATTTAAAAAATATATAAATATTATAATATAACGCATAACTATTCTATATTTTATTAAAACGTTTTTAAAAAATTCATTAATCAGACGTTACAAAGTATAATACAGTAGTGCATAACAATCGCAAGTGCTTAAATAGCAAATTAAAAAAAAATTGAAAAATAAAATAAGTTTAAATAAAATAAACTGTCGATACAATTGTTAACGTTAGCGAAGTCAGTAGTGAAGGAAAATACAAGTTAACGGACGCAGCAGAACTTTCGATTTTTGGCTGGGGTGTGCTTGTTGCTGGACTTGGTGGTGGCTCAGCTGTTGCTGATCCCGGTTTCACATACTCATTTATAACATCCGAATAGTTCTTGAACCAGTTTAAATTATGGTCAATTGTATTGATATGTTTGTGAAAAATTGAGTGTCCTTCAGAGGTTTGACAAGATCCTGGTGATAACAGAATCTCCCTTATCTAAAAAATCGAAGCAGTCCATTTCATTAATCAAGCTTTGACACATTCCAATATTATCATATTAAATACATACCTTGTCGACTTCATCATCAAGGGCGACTTTCGAAGCTAGTATCTTGAATATAGATGTAGCAATATACTTGCCGTTGTCTATTTCGTTGCAAAATTGGTGTACATTTTTCTGAAGATAATTTAAAAGCACTTTAATACCTAATGGCGTGGAAGCCATCGCATTGACAACAGTATTATAATCTTGCGGACGAATCGCATTGTCCTCGCTTTTAAACAAAGTTTCCAAGTATCTAAAAAAAAAACAGTTTAACAATTATAATATTTTTTTCGGAAATGTCAAAATCATAGTTTAAAATTATGATGTTGGGTAGAGTAAGTTGGATATATTACTTGTACAGTAACTGTTCATCTCTGGTACAGGTTAATGCTGTTAGCAAAGCTTGCTTTTCTGCATTGGATGATGATGTCTTATACAAATTAAATAGTTCTACCCAAGTGGCCGGGGTGCAAGACGTTCTTATTCCAATGCAAAACGATGCTTCTTTAATATCGGCCGGTATTCTAGAAATAAAATTTCATTATTAGTGTACTGGGATTCAAAGGTGTAATATGTACACAAAGATTGCGCGTATGGACTATGAGTGAATAAAGAAATAGTGACAGATATTTGTCAAGAAAAAGAATCTATATGACTAGTCAAACTTACTGTTGGCCATTTTGCCATCTTTGAAAGAAGCTTAATGCGGTGATTTTACAATCCACATTGTCCAGTTTACAAGCCCATAGTGAAAACGCGTTCCAACTGGCATTTATGTCGTAATCGTTATTATGCTTGAGAACTAGATTTTCTAGTTTATTGTAAATAATACCAGACAAGTCCCGGACATAATTCTAGAATGAAATTGTCAACAGAGTTCCATGTTTATTCGGGTTAATCGAGGCGAACTTCGAGTAAGTATTTCCATGATGTAGCTGTTACCTTAATATCAGGGTATACGTGACTACGTCTCATGCGGTCCAGGATGTAATCATAGTTGTTCATGACCGAATACCACGGTACGACATCGTTTTCGTTTTTTAAATATTTTGTCAGTTCAAAAGGCACCGAGTAATTTAATTTGCCCGCTCTTGCTAAATTAAACGAGTCGTCTATCAATTGAGCCCTGTTCAAAACATGTATTGCTTCCGGTGAATCGTGTAATTGTTTGATCAATGCCAGCCAATTGTCGTCTTCGTAATTCACTCGATAAAAACCTAATGGGGGGGGGAGGAGAAAACAGTTAAATATTATACTTATCATATTGTAAGTAAAAAGTCAGATTATTTTACCGGTAGACTGTACGTTAAAAATATACCAATCGAAATCCTCTAGAAACGGTAGAGCCGTTTCGTTTGTTGTTGGTCTCATCCATTTTACCGGTGCCAAGTCCGTGAAATTTTGACTTGAATTCGTGGTGTAAGTTAAGGGGATATACCATTCGCCCTGGGATTCAAAACATTCCGAAGGAATATAATTGTCATCGCCTTTTGGCACTAAAAACCTTTCCTAGTAACATATTATATGTCAGGTAAGGTACACTTGAAAACTGATACCCCATAAGCTCTATACTATACCTGTGTCAAGACAAATGAGCTTATGTTTCGTTTCACGTGTACGACAGGATAACCGCATTGATCGGTCCAGGTGGCCATGACGGTGTTGACCGTTTCGCCTTCGACAAATTCCCTTTGGTCAACGAACAAAGCATTCTCAAAAGCGTCCCATAGACTATTGGGCTCCACTGTTCGATATCTGCAGAAATTAGTTTTTTTTTTTTTAATTTTCAAACGGCCGCTTTAAGTATATGGTTTACATTCTTACTGGTTTTCACTTAGATAAATATTCAAAGCCGTTTTGAACACTTTTTCGCCGACAACGTCGCGTAGCATTTTCAACACAGTGGCCGCTTTGCTGTAGGTTATCGTATCGAAGATATCAACGTCTTGAAACACTGACAGGTTCACCGTCAACGGATGTCTTGGCGTTTGATCGTACGCCAAAGCCATTTGGTGTTGTTCGACCAGGAAAAATTCGTCTAGTCGCCAGTCGGGTACAGTCTGTTGAAAAATAATCGATAAATCTACAACGCGTCCAAGACCTGCTAATCGATAACCCTTATTACCGTCGCGGTTAAGAAATATTCCATAAACGTGGCGAACCCTTCGTTCAGCCACAAGTCATCCCACCAGGCGCAGGACACCAAGTTACCGAACCAATAGTGTGATAGCACGTGGTGCATTAGCCCAGTCACAGATCTAGCGGTTTTTGTTGTGCAATCATCGCTAATGAAAATTCGATCCTCCCTGCACATGATTTCCAAACGTTCTCAGGCCACGGTTATGCATTTTTCCAACAATACTAAATACATTACCGATAGACGTTCATTCCCCAGCTGTCCACCGCCCCGTTAATGTCCGGTACGGCTACTATGTCAATTTTTGGCAGCTCGAAATCCACGTCGGTGAAGTTTACCAGGGCTTCCAGTAGCTTCGGGGCTATGTTCAAAGCGTAGTCCATCTGATCCGAATATTCAGCACGACTGTACACTTTAAAAAAGCTACTATTCGAGCTGGAGACGACGAAATCACCGACAACGAACCCTACGAGGTAAGTTGACATTGGCGGTGTCTGCTGAAAGTGTATCCAAATCAAATCGCGATGTCCAGTTTCCGGTATATCCATTTCTCTTGAGTACAAATATTTTATCATGTTAATTGCGTGTCAAATACCGGATATACTTCTTTTTATACTTACTCATAAGTTCTATACCATTCCGGCATGTGTGACAACGCAGTCTGGTTACTTTGAACGCCCACGGTTATGTTGAAACGAGCTTTAAAGGAGGGTTCGTCGTAGCACGGGAATGCCGTCCTAGCGAACGCAGGTTGGAATTGAGTGACGGCCACCCATCTGAACATAATTAGGTATAAAGTATCTGTATTAATAGTATAGAAAGTAATAGTGATAATAGTTTTTTTTAGACATAACCATCGTCTTATAAGTTTTATCAAACTTGAACATTTACTTGTATTAAGTTACTCACTCGGTAGTAGAGTTATTTTGGAAGGAACTCCTGTACAGTCCAGTCATGTCATTGTTGAGCAAACCGCTAAATTGTATGGACACCGCATACTTTCTATTGGTCACTAACGTCGACTTAAGTTCGATTGTCAATTGCTCTTGTGCTTCATGGCGGTAGTGGTTTGCTATTGGGATTTCTTGTTGGCTAATGTCGTCGATGACAACGATTGAAGACACATTGTGATCTTTGGAATTCAAAATCACCTCCGACGTGCTGGTCTTCACGTGGATCAGTATGTCTACACGGCCAGCAAACGATGCATTTTCAAAATTCGGCGCTACGGTCAACACATAATGTTCAGGTTCGGTAACGTGCGACAACCGGTCGTTAAGTCCGTATGATCTATATGCCAGAGCAAAAAAAAAGATAAATTTAACGGCCAACATGGTTAACGCAGTATAGTGATCCGAGTAACTGACGCCGGCAAGGTAGTTCAAGTAAGTAGCTTGTATTGTTTTTTTATCTTATCAAACGAATGTCGATTGTTTTATAACGATTTTGGCGTGGAATTAACATGTTTAAAAAATGGTAATCCCTGTCATAAAATACAAAACAATTTTTTTTTATGTATATACCTACCTATACTATAAAACCAAGTGACTTGAACGGTGTCAAACGTTATCGGTGAAACTAACCACTCAAGACAGGCTTCGAATACCAAAACAGATTCGAATAAATAGTAGCGACTTAAATGTCGAAACCGTATTGGTTTTCTATGATTATAGTATGATTTCTATACATTGATACCATACTTGGGGTCAGTTGTATTTTGTCTTGTTTGAAATCAATACACAAGCCACAACTAATAATAACTAAACACGCGCGACCTTTAAACAATTTACATTATTGTTATCCTTTAACAAATATGACTTATATTTAAAAAGTAGACCAGATAATATCGAGTAGCGGTGTTCTCATATTGTTATCTTCACACTTCCAAGGTCCTCAAACAAATTAGTTTGTCCGGAAGTCTATAATACTTAATAATATTTTATCTCTATATATAATATATTTTACATTAGTTTATTAGAAAACAGTGCATTATATTAGTATCTCGTTGCTGACATACAAATATAAGAGTGAGATTTTATTAATTATATAATATTTCATTATTTATTTGGGTTTTCTGAGTTTAAACGACTACTATGAAGACCTTATAACACATAACAAACTTGAATTAAATAAATCATCGAATTCTATAGTAGATGTTTAAGAGATAAATACTATTTGTGGAAAAAGATCATGTAATTTAACAATAGAATGACACTTGTTTAATAGTTGACACAAATTATATATTATACTTTTAATTATTTAAAGTAGATTATTAGTTGAAATATAATTTGAATGATGGTAAAGCAAGTGATCGTGCTAAGAGATCCAACAGAATTTGTTGGGCTAGCTGAACTTGTACGGGGACTAATCGGATCATCTTTTGAGGAATTCAGCCTTACAAATTCGTTAATGTCATTGGAGTAGGTATCAAACCATTTATGATTTATTTCGACTTGCTTGTATAGAGAATCATAATTTTTTTTCAGTGTACTTGAGACGCCCGATTTCGATCTTATTTTGTTCATCTAAAAAAAATATAAACCCACAATTAGTATTGGTAGTACTTGTTTTTTAATTTTTAAATGTAAATGAAAGTTGGTTCACTATTGCAGGAATTACTTAAAAACCGACATGACAATACAATTATGTGTACTATTTAGAAAAAAATTTAATCTGAACGTAGTTCTTACATATGTTGCTAAGCTCTATTCGTTTATGGCGATTTGTAGCTTACAGAGCATTATTTTCATTTTGAATAATTAAAAAAATATATTCTTACTATATATATTTCACTATCCAGTGACACTTTTGATGCTAATACTGAATAAATTGTCTCAGCCACGCTTTCACCATCAGGTAATTCTTTACATATACGATCCCAGTTATCCCGAAGGAAAAATAAAAGAGTTTGAATGCCCAACGACGTGGAAGACAGTGAAATAAATACAGCTCTGTAATCTTGGGGCCGTATCAGACCGTTCGGTCCTTTCAAAATTAGTTCCACATAACTGCAAACATTATTATTTAGTTATATAAAAAAAATAAATTAATAAATAGTATAACGAATATACGATAAGTAAAATACAAAAATATAGCCCTAAAATACCAGGAATATCTTCGGCCAGTAAGGGATAATTTAATGTAGAAAATAAATTAATAAAATAATACAAAAACCAATAATAATAACCATACTTTGTTAGGCAGATATTAGCATATATTTTATAGCCGTATGCAGGTTATAATTAGTTATTAAAAACCTTACCAAATTTACACGGTCAACAAAATTTCCAGAAATACAAAAATAAGATTAATACTAGGAAATTACAATAATGAATAATGCAATGATGTCAAAACCATATTTTAATACAAATAATAGACCTAAATAACGATTATTTTAATTATGACTAAATTTAATAAACGACTGATTAATTGCTGAAGAAGAATAGTTTGCGTTACTTGGCATTTATAAAAAAAATTGTTATGTTATTAATAATATAGTTGAGGTATAGTGGTTTAAATGGTATTTTTAAAGGCCTTTAATTATCATAGCTTCATAATTTGTTGAAATATTAATTTAAATATGTACTGAGTAAATGCCAATCATTTAGTTTGATATAGTATAGGAATATGAATGACTTACTTTCTTAATAAAGATTGATTTTGTGTACAAGCTAACGCGTTTAGTGCCGAATATCGTTCAGAAGCGGATTGTGTATTCAAGTAAACTTGGAAAACTTCGCTCCAAGTATCCGCTTCAGGATGAAACTTTAAACCTACGCAAAAAGCTACGTCTTTTTGATCATCCGGTATCCTACGACAATTGTGTTAAAATACTAATATGAAGCAATAGTCATAAGTTTAATAACAAACGAATAAGCTTACTTTTTACCTCTCCGCCATGCATTGAAGTACCTGATTGCCGGTAACACGCAAGTCGTTACATTTAATTTACAAGCCCAAACACAGAATGTGTTCCAACTAGCATTGATGGCGTACTTATTATTTTTTTTTTCTGTTACTAGGCGTTTTAATTTGGTGAAGATTATTAATGCCTTATCACTAACGTAATTCTAAGGATAAAAATATAAATAAAATGAAATTCAATTAAAACAAGTACGGCTAACAATCATTATTACTATTTATTATTTATCATATTATCAAAATATTTAGATTTAATTATATTGAGTACGGTCGCTGATTATTATCATAAAAACCAAATATAGTAATGTCTATGATATGATTTATGTTCTAAATAAAAAAATTGTATTTAAATAAATTTTATTCGCCTCACTTCAAATTCAAAGTATAAAGGACTGCGTCTCATTCGATCCAAAATATAATTAAAACTGTTCATCACTGAATACCAAGGTATGACATCATTTTCCTTATCTAGATAATTTGTAAGTTCTAAAGGTACTGTGTAGTTTAATCGTCCCGCTCTTGCTAAATTAAAAGAGTCATCAACCAATTGAGCTCTGTTCAACACGTGTATAACCTCTGGTGCATTTTTAAGTTGTTTGATTAACGCCAACCAGTTTTCATTTTGATAATTAACTCTATAAAACCCTTTTTTAAACGGTATACATGTAAACATTATTTGTGTTACATTTTAATGCTTTTTAAAATAGTGGATATCAATGTTTTACCAGTAGACTGTAGGTTGGCAATGAACCATTTGTCAGATTCCAAGGGAAGTTTTAGAAAATGACAATCATCTTTGGGATTCAACCAGATAACAGGGGTCAAATGATCAAAATTCGGTTTCAAGTCAATTGTTATTGTAACACCAATAAACCATTTAGTAGAATATTTTACAAGGGATTCGTCAACTGTAAACCGGTCCTAAAGAGGCAAAAAATCTTTTTATAATATTTGACATAACAATTTATTATCATAACAATTTATTAATTACCGCGAGTTACCTGTGTCATACAATATTGGTTTTTAGTTACGCCGTTCTTATGTTTCACAATATTTACGACTGGATAACCAGATTGCTCTGTCCACGTGCTCATAACTTCGTTCACAGTTTGATCTTTAACTAATGTTTGTTTGCGTATAGACAATGTTTCTTCAAATGCATCCCAAAGATCATTCGGCTTTACTGATCCCTCCCTTAAAAAAAAGTTATTCTACATAAACTCTGAACTATAAAATGTTTTCAATTTAATTTTATGTTACTTACATATGTTTGGTCAAATACAACTTCAAAGAATCTTTAAAAACATCTTTTCCAACATAACTGTACAACATTCTTAACACCGAGGCTCCTTTATTGTACGTAATACGATTAAAACTTTTATCAATTTCTTCAAGAGTGGATACGTTGTTTGATAACGAATGCCTTGCTAGCTGATCGTATTCCAAAGCAGTTTGATGTTGTTCAACAACAAAAAATTCTGGCAGGTTCCAATCTGGCTCTACCTATAAATTTTAAGCCAACTATAATAATGCTTGTATCTAGACAAAAAAGATAAAGTAAGTAATTTATTTTTGTATAACATAGAAACGGTATATTTCAAAGATTATTAAAGTTAGAAAAATAATTATAAATTTAGCTTGGTAATAAATACTAATGAAAAGTGTTTTTTTGAAAACACTATAAAAAATCTTTATTCTAAGATAAAAATAATTTGTGCTTTAAGTCATGTGTCGCATCTGAAAATGATTATCCTTTATTAAGTGTTTTATTACTAAATAAAAAACGATTAAACTAAAACCATTCAAATTGAATGTTATATTTTTTTATTTTATTATCATAGAATTCCAATATTATTCTCAAGTGTTAATTTATGAATATGAAAATTGAAAAATATTACTGTTGCTGTAGCGAAGTATTCAAAAAACGTTGCAAAACCTTCGTTTAACCAAACGTAATCCCACCAGTCGCATGTGACCAGATTACCAAACCATTGATGCGACAACTCATGCTGTATTGTTTTAGTAACGGCTCCTTTATACTGGGTGGTCGAATCTTCGGGAAATAAAAGTAATCTTTCCCTAAAATACACATCATCGTATTATAAATGACTTATATGTTCTAAACAACTGCATCGAGTACATAATATTATGTAATCGCACCGCGCAGAGCATTACCTAAATGTATTCATTCCCAAGTTTTCTATAGCTCCGAATCTGAGGTCAGGTAAGGCTACCAGATCCAATTTTGGTAATTCGTACTCAATTCCGGTAAATATTTCCATTGCTTCGAGAAGTTTAGGAGAAATATCTAGAGCGTATTGGGTTTGTTCTAAGTAGACAGATCGAGTATACACATTAACTTTCGAACTAGATTTCAAGCTAGTGATTTCTCCGATAAAGAACGCTACTAAGTATGTTGATATTGGGGGTGTCTGCTGAAAATGGTACCAGGACAATATTCTCCAACCATACTCCAATTCACAATCATCTCTGAAAAACAAAATGAATTCAATGCATTCACAAAAATGTACTACTAAACTAAAAAAATAGCCGTTTTAGTCATAGTTAATATTTCTACTTACTTTTGATCTTTATACAATAGTGGCATGTTTGACAATGCAATTTGCTTGTCAGAAACGCCAACTGTAATATTGAAGGGCACTTTATAGTGCGGTTCGTCGTAACAAGGGAACGCACTTCTCGCATATGTTGCCTCAAACTGAGTAACAGCTAAGAAACTGAAAATAACATCACAGATATTACTTAGTGTTACACAAATTCGAGTTATAATTTATTGAAATCTTACTTTTCTGCGCCGGTTTGCGATTGGTTGTACGAGCTTTTATAAAATCCGGTCATATCGTTTCTGAGTAAACCATCAAATCTGATAGCTATCATGTATTCGTGATTTGCTGGTAACGACTGATCCAACACAATCTTTGCTTGTTCGTTGGCTTTATTGTATACCAATTCTTTTAGACCAACACTCTGTCTTGTGCTCACGTCGGTGACCTTAAGTGACGTAATTTTTAAATCTTTTGAGTGCAAAACCACATCAGAAGTCATAGTTTTCGTTTGAATAAGTAATTCTACCAAACCGGAGAACGAGGATTTTTTTTCAAAATTTGGTGATATACATAGAGAATATGACTTGGGAACCGTAGTAGTGGGCAGAAACGAATTAAATCCGTTTAAGCTCTGGACTAAGGCGTAAAAAAGAACAAATTTTAATATCATTTTGGACGTGACACGACTAAAATCACGACCGTCCATAAAAGACGAACCAGCCGAAAATGTATATTACACGTGTGCGACAGGTAAATAATATTTATATTATCTTATCTTAATGAATAAATAATAGTGAAAAAGGTTTGCCTTTATCAATTAATAATTTTTTAATTCTTAATTACAAAATTTTATCCAACACGTAATTAATGTGTGTGTACTATGTAAATAGTGTTTGAACGCAGTTTGTTTTTTCATGAAGATATTCTTATTAAAATACATTGTGCAATCAAGACGGATAAGTTTATTGTGTACTCAAGAAAATTAAAAAAAAAAAAATACACTTCTCATGTTTAAAATATTTCTGATTTGATTGTATGGTCATGAGTACCGTACTTGTTACTCATATGATTTGTATGGCTTAAGATTTTGAGTAACAATATTGGCACTTGCCGAGTTTAACTCCCAGGCTTTGACTGCCGATTTGGATACCAAAAGTACTGTACAGCTCACACCTGTGGCCCACACAATAAATCTGATCAATTTGTGACAGACATAACATTGAGAGAATCATTAAAATATACATCTTACACCCCCATTTAGGTCTTTTTCTTTTTCCTTTTTCTTTCCATTCTTTTTCTTTCTATTAAAATATTTATGGAATTGAAAAAACCAGGTTCATACATGTGTATTTTGATGGAGGGATAAAGATAAACATTTCTGAGTTTGGCCAAATGTAGTAAATTGTGTAGGTAAAAAAATAATGTTCATATATTCTAAATAAATTATTGTCTTACATCCGACTGATTACCTTGTAATAGCAATGGCCAAATGCCATACTTTTATTTATTTATACAAAAATTAGATACATATATACTAATGCAGTATTTATATGACGGCCTATACAATTTTGCTACCCTTAAGTCGCCTATAAATCTTAAAATAGAGGTTTGTCTTTTCTAAGGAAAAAACGCATCCTCTTAAGGCTTTTGGGCATATGTCAACTTGAATGAATTCAAAATCAATTACTCAAATTTAATTTATTTAGAATTTATTACTGGGTACAAAACTACAGCTAAGAAAACCTTATTATACTAAACATAAATTAATTAAATTAAATCTGCGAATTATAAAAAAAATATTTAAGAGATAAATAATAATTACGTGTAAATTCATGTAGTTCAACACGCGAATAATAGTTGACATAAAATACTTATACTTTTAATTAATTATAATATATAAATAGTACTACTAAGTGAATGATGGTTAGGCAAGTGATCGTGCTAAGAGATCCAACAGAATTTATTGGGCTAGCTGCACTTGTACGGGGACTAATCGGATCATCTTTTGAAGAATCCAGCTTCACGAATTCGTTTATGTCATTGGAGTAGGTATCAAACCATTTCTGATTTATAATTACTTGCTTGTATACAAAATCAAAACTTTTTTGCAGTGTACTTGGAATGCCAGGTTTCGATCTTATTTCATTCAGCTGAAAAATATAAACTCACAATTAATGTTAAAATGAATTGTAGTACTTGTATACAAATTTTCAAAAGGAAATAAATGTTGGGCTACTATTGCTAGAGTTACTTACAACCCAATCATTATGAAAAAAAAAAAATTTACTTTCACATTTGTAAAATAAATATCTTTTTGATCATTAAATTATCAATTTGATCTAATATTGCATGCTAACTTGGTGTAGCATATAGTAAGCGCTTTATTTGCACTGTGAGTTAATCAATTCAAATAATGTAGTTATAACTTAGAAGTATTTTGCTAGTTGGCTGTATGTCCTAACCTAACCAAAGACATGGCAATACAATTATGTGTACTGTTTAAAAAAAATATGTAATCTGTTCGTACATATTTTGTTAAACTCTATTCGTTTATGGCAATTTGTAGCTTCCAGAGCATTATTTTCATTCTGAATAATTTAAAAATATATATTCTTACTAGTATTATTTCGTCATCCAGAGACACTTTTGATGCTAATATTGAATAAATTGTCTCAGCCACGCTATCGCCATTAAGTAATTCTTTACGTATACGATCCCAGTTATCCCGAAGGAAATATAGTAGAGTTTTAATGCCCATTTGGTTGGAAGACAGGGAATTAAAAACAGCTCTGTAATCTTGAGGCCGTATCGGACCGTTCGGTCCTTTCAAAATTAGTTCCACATAACTGCAAACATTAATATTTATTTACATGTTAATAATAATAAATTAATAAATTATATAATGAATATAGGATAAGTAAAATACAGCCCTAAAAGACCTGGAATATCTTCGGTCAATAAGGGATAATTAAATATAGAAAATAAATTAATACAAAAACCATTTGTAAAAACCACACTTTGTTAGGTAGATATATCGCATATATTATATAGACGTATGCCAGTTATAAGTAGTTAATAAAATATCCTTATCAAATATACATGAAAAACAAAATTTCCAGATATCCTGATGAATAACTGACTAATTTACACTATTTATATGACTTGAGGTTACTCCCACTTGGTTGTCTTGACTAGTTAACCAACGTTTTGGAACACGTTCCATCTTCAGGGCTGTGGTTCGATGTTGCTCGTACCGCGTTCTCCTGCAGACTGACCGATTCGCTTCCGTAGGCGTAGGTTATATACCATACCCTTCACCGCATTCTCCACTTTCTCTTGCCGCTGCCAGCTGTTTTCTACGGCCACGCCCCTTCGCCTTGGCCGGCTGCCGCATGACTGATTTCCGTTTCCGTTATAAAGCAATAGTTTCTTGCTGTATTTCCGGCTCTCTTAAAAACGTGTTCCAAAACGTTGGCGAACTAGTCAAGACATCTAAGTAGGAGTAACCTCAAGTCATGTAAATAGTGTTAATATAATACCCCACTCAAGTTCCAATAATTTTTAACCGACTAACTGCTAAAGAAAAATTGTCTTACTTGATGTATAAAAAATGTTTGTATTATGACAATATAATTGTGATATAATTAAGTATAGTGGTTCAAATGGTTCATTGATCAATAAATTACCACAACTAATTATCTAAATGCTAAATGTTTATGACTTACTTCATTAATAAAAATACATTTTGTGAGCACGCTAATGCGTTTAGTGCCGAATATCGTTCTGAAGCAGATTGAGTTTTCAAGTAAACTTGAAAAACTTGATTCCAAGTATCCGAATCAGGATGATACTTCAAACCTACGCAAAAAGCGACGTGCTTTTGATCATCCGGTATCCTATGAAATTTTTAAAAAATATTAGTAAGAAATGATAGTTAATAACAAAAGAATAAACTTACTTTTCACCTTTCTGCCATGCTTGGAAGTACCTGATTGCCGGTAATACGCAAGCCTGTAAATTTAAACTACAAGCCCAAACACTGAATGTGTTAAAACTGGCATTGATGGCGTACTTTTTAATTTGTTCCTGTTTTACTTGGCGTTCTAATTTGGTGAAGATGATTAATGCTTTATCACTAACGTAATTCTAAGGACAATAACGATAACATATAAATAAAATGTAATATTTCTTTTCAATTAAAACAATCACGGCTATTAATCATTATTACTATTTATTATTTTTCATATTATCAAAATATTTAGATTTTTATAATTAAGAGTACACTTGCTGATATTTATCATAAAAACCAAATATAGTAATGTCTATGATATGATTTATGTTCTAAATAAAAACATTTTATTTAAATAAATTTTATTCGCCTCACTTCAAATTCAAAGTATAAAGGACTGCGTCTCATTCGATCCAAAATATAATTAAAACTGTTCATCACTGAATACCAAGGTATGACATCATTTTCCTTATCCAGATAATTTGTAAGTTCTAAAGGTACTGTGTAGTTTAATCGTCCCGCTCTCGCTAAATTAAAAGAGTCATCAACCAAATGAGCTCTGTTCAAAACGTGTATAACATCTGGTGCATTTTTTAGTTGTTCGATTAACGCCAGCCAATTTTCCTCTTCGTAGTTTACTCTATAAAAGCCTATTTAAAACAATATAAATGTAAACTCTATTAAATTACATTTTGATGCTTTTTAAAATATTAGGTATCAATGTTTTACCAGTAGACTGTAGGTTGACAATGAACCATTTGTCAGTTTCCAAGGGAAGTTTTATAATATAAAAATCATCTTTTGGATACAACCAGAAAACAGCGGTTAAATCATCAAAAGTTGGTTTCAAATCACTTGTTATTGTAACACCAATAAACCATTTAGTGAAACATTTTCCAAGGAATCCGTCGACTGTAAACCGCTCCTAAAAAAGCAAAACATCTTTTTTTGATATTTGACTTGACAATGTATTATGACATGATTAAATAATATTATTGCGAGTTACTTGTGTCATAACAAATTGGTTTTTAGTAACGTTTTTATGTTTTGCAACATTTACTACCGGATAACCAGATTGCTCGGTCCACGTGCTCATGACTTCGTTCACAGTTTGATCTTTAACTAATGTTTGTTTGCGTTTAGACAATGTTTCTTCAAATGCATCCCAAAGACCTTTTGGGTTTACTGAACCACCCCTTAAAAAAAAAGTTAGTGTTCATAAACTCTGAGTTAAAAAAAGTTGTAAACTGCAATATAATGGTATTTACATATGCTTGGTCAAATACAACTTCAATGAATCTTTAAAAACATCTTTTCCAACATAACTGTACAACATTCTTAACACCGAGGCTCCTTTATTGTACGTAATACGATCAAAACTGTTATCAATTTCTTCAGGAGTGAACACGTCGGTCGATAACGAATGCCTTGCTAGCTGATCGTATTCCAAAGCAGTTTGATGTTGTTCAACAACAAAAAATTCTGGCAGGTTCCAATCTGGCTCTACCTATAAATTTTAAGCCAACTATAATAATGCTTGTATCTAGACAAAAAAGATAAAGTAAGTAATTTATTTTTGTATAACATAGAGACGGTATATTTCAATGATTATTAAAGTTAGAAAAATGGTTTAAAATTTAGCTTGGTAATAAATATTAATGAAAATTGTTTTTTTTTTTAATTACTTCATACAAAATGTTTATTCTCAGATAAAAACATTTTTGGTTTAAGTCATGTGGCGCATCTGAAAATAATTATCCTCTATTAAGTGTTTTATTACTAAATAAAAAACGATTAAACTAAAACCATTCAAATTGAATGTTATATTTTTTTATTTTTTTATTATCATAGAATTTCAATATTATTCTCAAGTGTTAATTTATGAATATGAAAATTGAAAAATATTACTGTTGCTGTAGCGAAGTATTCAAAAAACGTTGCAAAACCTTCGTTTAACCAAACGTAATCCCACCAGTCGCATGTGACCAGATTACCAAACCATTGATGCGACAACTCATGCTGTATTGTTTTAGTAACGGCTCCTTTATACTGGGTGGTCGAATCTTCGGGAAATAAAAGTAATCTTTCCCTAAAATACACATCATCGTATTATAAATGACTTATATGTTCTAAACAACTGCATCGAGTACATAATATTATGTAATCGCCCTTCGCAGAGCATTACCTAAATGTATTCATTCCCAAGTTTTCCATAGCTCCGAATCCGAGGTCAGGTAAGGCTACCAGATCCAATTTTGGTAACTTGTATTTAATTCCAGTAAACAATTCCATTGCTTCGAGAAGTTTAGGAGCAATACCTAGGGCATATTGGGTTTGTTCTAAGTAGTCAGATCGAGTATACACATTAACTTTCGAACTCGATTTCAAGCTAGCGATTTCTCCGACAAAGAACGCTACTAAGTATGTGGACATTGGAGGTGTCTGTTGAAAATGGTACCATGACAAATTTTTCCCACCATTCGTCAGTTCACAAACATCTCTAAAAAAAGCACATGATTCTCTTCAATTAAATCGTAGCGATTCTATAAAAAAATATACTAGCAAACTAAAGAAGTCATTAGGGTCATGGTATGATGGGATTGAAGTGTGGGATCATAGTGGATACTGAGAGTTTCAAATAAAATGTTTGACGTTAATTTGAAAAAAAATGCACCTTAATAATTTCTTAATGTGCTGGTTTATACTGTGCTTGGTTTGGACTGTATTTCTTTGAACATACTAACTACTGATTCGCATCAAAGCGTTTATTCGAAAGTGATTTTAATACATTCAGGTGTAATAATTCCAGTAAACCTGTGATCTCCCTATCCCTAATATACCCCTGACCCCCTATGCTTCGTCCCCACTATGCCCCGCCTCCACTGTACTGGCTTTTGTATTGTTATAATTTTTGTGGAATGTAAATGGTTCTCTACAATAACTGAGTGCAAAAAAATAACTTCGCAGAAACCTATTCGAAAATTAAGAATTTCACAATACTTTTAAATGTATTCAATAAAATTCAGATTATTTAATTCTTCATATCTAAAACCATTATCTTTATATATTAACGATCAGTTTAATGTAGTTCAGTTTAAGTCATAAGAATTTAAAATTTAGATATATAATAAACATTTAAAATATTGTAAACAATAAATGTTTTTTTTTGTGTATAATTTATTCTTGAAATGTGTATTAAAATATGTAAGAGGAAAGTTGAACGATTTTATTAAAAAGCAAAACGTTAAAATGAAGAGAACACTAATTTAAAAAAAAAAATAGTAATCATTTGTTATTATTCAACTAAATAACAATCTATTTTTAATCTTGACAGAAACTCAATTTCTTTCGCTCAACTCCCGTCGCGTTCAGCAATCGCCCGTCGTCATAGTAGTCAAAATCAAATAAAATACGTTTTTATTAATGTCAAAAGTATAACTGTGAAGAAGTAAACTTTTACAACTCTTTTTCCTCTCAAGATACCAGCTAGATAAAATGTATGATTTATACAGTTGCTACTCGAAGGAATTGATCCAGTATTAAAAAAGTTACAGTTTATACAGAAAAAAACCTACATTATTGTGAAACCAATAGCATCGCTGCTCCGCATCGAAGCTAAAGACAATCGTTTTAGTCAAAATTAATATTTACTTATGATCTTTATATGACAGTGGCATGTTTGACAATGCAATTTGCTTGTCAGAAACGCCAACTGTAATATTAAAGGGCACTTTATAGTGCGGTTCGTCGTAACAAGGGAACGCACTTCTCGCATATGTTGCCTCAAACTGAGTAACAGCTAAGAAACTGAAAATAACATCACAGATATTACTTAGTGTTACACAAATTCGAGTTATAATTTATTGAAATCTTACTTTTCTGTGCCGGTTTGCGATTGGTTGTACGAGCTTTTATAAAATCCGGTCATATCGTTTCTGAGTAAACCATCGAATCTGATAGCTATCATGTATTCGTGATTTCCTGGTAACGACTGATATAACACAATCTTTGCTTGTTCGTTGTCTTTATTGTATACCAATTCTTTTAGACCAACACTCTGTCTTGTGCTAACTTCGGTGACATTAACTGACGTGATATTTAAATCTTTTGAATGCAAAACTACTTCGGAAGTGATATTTTTCGTTTGGATAAGGATTTGTACTAAACCAACGAACGAGGTATCTTCATTTTCAAAATTCGGCGCTATACATAGAGAATATGACTTTGGAACCGTAGTATTGGGTAAAAACGTATTAAATCCGTTCAAGCCCTGGACTAAGGCGTAAAACGTGACAAATTTTAATAACATTTTGCGACACTAAAAGTTGCAAAACTATTAAAATCACTATCGTCAACGAAAGACGAACCGACCTTAACTTTATACGAGTACCGCGGGTGAATATATACTATTATCTTATCTTAATGGTTGAATAATACTGAAAAAGGTTTACCTTTATCTACTAATAATATATAATTTTATAATTTTATAATTACAAAATTGTACCAAAGACGTCATTATTTTAATTGTACTATGTAAATAGTGTGTTGTTTGTTTTTTCATGAAGATATTGGTATTAAAATATATTATGCAGGCAAGACGGACGACTTAGTACTCAAGATACTGAGTACTCAAGAAAATTGCAAAAAAAACATAAATAAACGACTCACATTTAAAATATTTTTGATCGTATGGTCATGATTAACTAGTTGGCAGTCATGAGTACTGTACTTGGTACTTGTTTGGTTTGTGTCATAGGCTGAAGTTTTTTAATCGTATATTTTCCAGAAGTTCTGAGTCACCATAGTGGTACTCACCTAGTTTGATTCTCTAGATTTAATTTAAATATATGGTTTAACTGATGGTCACGACTGTTGTATATTCATATCTCACTCTCTTATTTTAGTAACTTAACCTACTGTACTGTGTACTAAAGAAAATTTCAAAAAAAAAAATACACTACTCACATTTAAAATATTTGTGATCGTTTGGCCATGATTACGGTACTTGGTATTCATATGGTTTGTATCCTAGGCTTAAAGTTTTTAATTATATATTTTTTAGTAAAAGTATTGGTACTCGTTAAGTTTGACTTCCAGGTTTTGACTGCAATGGCCTTAGGTAGACTGGCCAATACTAAATAAAATGTTCGCATTTCATATAAGCCGGACAGTAGTCTGGTGGAGTGGTCTAAATTTCAGAACACTGTCTGAAAATTAGCTTGTCTTAACTAATATCTACCAATTTTAAAGAAGAAAACGTCTGATTCTATCCATTTATTATGTTTATGTATAAGGTCGGTAATTGTTTTAAAATTTACAAAGGTAGTTTAAAACAAAATATGTATAAATATGTATAAATTGGCATGTGCCATATCAAAATACATATATTATGTTTTAATGTCTCTGAATTCAACTATGATATCAAATTTTCAACTCCCCTTATTGAGGATTATCATCCAAGGACTTGCATTATTGTAAAACTAATTTATTAATAAACAGTTTAATTAAAATTTAAACGCTAACATTTTTAAAAAATGTTTGTCTACATAAATATGGGAATAAAAGAATGTTCCCATTTGAAAAAACGTGGTCCATACTTGTTTTACGAATAAGAGATGAAGGTAAAAATTTCTAAGTATAGAAAAATAAATTATTTAATTGAGAGTATACAAAAAAAATAATCTTCAAAATATTCATATTTTCTAAAAAAAAATAGTGTCTTACATCAGATGGATCACCCTGTTATACCATTGACCAATTACTATTGTTCCATTTATTTATGGCCAATTCTGATCTTTCTTTAGTTTTAACATCACTTAATGACTACTTTCTTGAGCCACACAGATTTTTTTATTTACTTACACTAAAACACCTATTTTTGTGCCAAATTTCACGTTTCTACCCATTGAGAAATACCTTATACATGTTATAATCAGTCAGCGAGTCAGTAACAAATATGCAAATTCTGAAGTTCCCCTTTTTTTGTAATGGCCTAAAATTAAGGGCTCAATTTCTGACATTGTCCTAAGCTATTCGTGTTTAATGTATGTATCAAATTTCAAAAGCCCATCATAAAAAAAAGCAGAGATATGAGAGTTAGAAAACGGGGCAGGTTGATTCGTGTAAAGATACACTAGCATTGCAGGATCTTGGCCAGATGTTATTAATCTAAACTCATCATGGACCGACTAAAAGTCTTCTTGGTAGTCAAATTTATTTGCTTGATAATTAAAAGTAAAATGCATCTTCTTAAGGCCTTTGGAAATATATCAATTTGAATAAATTTGTAATCGATTACTTCAATTACATACAACTTTATTATTTATTTACGCTAACTTAGTAAAAACTACTGCTAGGAGAACCTTATTATACTAAACAAAATTGTAATATTACAGATGGTATAAAATAGATGTTTAAGTAATAATAAATAGATCAATCGTACAAGTTCCGGTGGTATAATACGCGAATGGCGCTTGTAAAACAGTTAAAATACATTACATAATATACATACAATTAATTAAAATATATTATTAATACTACTGTGTGAATGATGGTAAGGCAAGTGATCGTGCTAAGAGATCCTACAGAATTTATTGGACTAGCTGCACTTGTACGGGGACTAATCGGAAGGTCTTTTGATGAACCCAGTCTTACGAATTCGTGGATGTCATTGGAGTAGCTATCAAACCATTTCTGATTTATTTCCACTTGCTTGTACACAGAGTCAAAACTTTTTTGCATTGTACACGAGTTGCAAGATTTTGATCTTATTTCGTTCATCTAAAACATATAAATTCACAATGTTAGAATTGCTAGTAGTACTTGTATACTAAATTTTCACATGAAAATGAAAATTGTGTCACTATTTGCAAGATTTACTTACAACCCAATCGTTGTGAAAAATAGTAAATTTTCTATTACATTTGTAAAAGAAATTTCGTTTTTAGCTTTAAATTATACAGTTTGATCTTATAATGTATGCTAATTTGGTGTCCCCCTAGCAATTAATTAGCGCTTTAATTGCATTGTCAGCTTAATCAATTCAAATAATTTAGTTATAACTTAGAAGTATTTTGCTAGTTGACTGTATGTCTAAATTGTCAAAAAAATTTTAACATAAAAGTCATTATAAGTAAATATTTCCCTAAAAGAAATTAAATCGTATCCAGAGATCAAAGTGAATTCAACCAAAGACATGCCAGTATAAAATTATGTGTACTGTTTAACAAAATTTGTAATCTGTTCGTAGATATTTTGCTAAATTCTATTAGTTTATGGCAATTTGTAGCTTCCAGAGCATTATTTTCAATCTGAGTAATTAAAAAAATATATTCTTACTAGTATTATTTCGTCATCCAGAGACACTTTTGATGCTAATATTGAATAAATAGTCTCAGCCACGCTTTCGCCATCAGGTAATTCTTTACATATACGATCCCAGTTATCCCGAAGAAAATATAGTAGAGTTTGAATGCCCAATGGCGTGGAAGACAGTGAATTAAATACAGCTCTGTAATCTTGAGGCCTTATCGGACCGTTCGGTCCTTTCAAAATTTGTTCTACATAACTACAAACATAATTATTTACTGTCAGGTTATATAATTATAATAAATTAATAAATAGCATAACGAATATACGATAAGTAAAATACAAAAATATAGTGAAATACAGAAAAGAAAATTAATAAAATAACACAAAAACCAATTGTTAACTTACTTTGTTAGGTAGATATAGCGCATATCTTGTGTAAACATATGCAGGTTATAACTAGTTATTGAAACCTTACCACAAATACATGGAAAATGAATTTCCAATAAACCAAAATAAGTTTAATACTTCGTAATTAATATATAAAAATTAAGTATAGTGGTTTAAATGGTATTTTCAAATGCCATAAATTATCATAACTTCATATTTTATTCAAATAATTGTTTAAATATGTATTGAGTAAATTCCAATCGTTTAATTTGGTATAGTATTAAAATTTGAATGACTTACTTCCTTAATAAAAAGTCAGTTTGTGAACACGCTAATGCGTTTAGTGCCGAATATCGTTCAGAAACAGATTGTGTTTTCAAGTAAACTTGGAAAACTTGGTTCCATAAATACCATTCAGGATGAAACTTTAAACCTACACAAAATGCTACGTATTTTTGATCATCCGGTATCCTATGATATTTGTTGGAAAATATTAGTAAGAAATAATAGTCATTAGTTAATAACAAAAGTAGGAACTTACTTTTCACCTTTCAGCCATGCATTGAAGTACCTGATTGCCGGTAACACGCAAGTCGGTACATTTAATTTACAAGCCCAAACACTGAATATATTCCAACCGGCATTGATGGCATAATTTTTATTTTTTTCCTCTTTTACTTGGCGTTTTAATTTGGTGAAGATGATAAATGCCTTATCGCTAACGTAATTCTAAGGATAACAACAATACAAATAAAATGTTTTTTTAAAATTAAAACACTGAATAGTTCTTTTAATAAACATTAATACTAATTGTTATTTTTCATATTACCAAAATATTTAGATTTGATAATATTAAGTACAGTAGCAGAAAATTATCATAAAACAAATAATAAAGTCTATGATATGATTTATGTTTAAAATAAAAAAATTATTTTATGTTTTATCTATTTAAATACATTTTATTCGCCTCACTTCAAATTCAAAGTATAAAGGACTGCGTCTCATTCGATCCAAAATATAATTAAAACTGTTCATCACTGAATACCAAGGTATGACATCATTTTCCTTATCCAGATAATTTGTAAGTTCTAAAGGTACTGTGTAGTTTAATCTTCCCGCTCTCGCTAAATTAAAAGAGTCATCAACCAATTGAGCTCTGTTCAACACGTGTATAACATCTGGTGCATTTTTTAGTTGTTCTATTAACGCCAACCAATTTTTCTCTTCGTAGTTCACTCTAAAAAATCCTTTTAAAACGATATGAATGTAAGCACTATTTAGCTACATTTTGTTGCTTTTTAAAATATTGGGTATCAATGTTTTACCGGTAGACTGCAGATTGATAATGTACCATTTGTCAGATTCCACGGTAAGATTAAGAAAATGAAGGTCATGTGTGGGATCCAGCCACATAAGAGGAGTCAACTTTTCGAAATTTGGTTTCAAATCAATTGTTATTGTAAAACCAATAAACCATTTAGTAGAATGTTTTACAAGGGGCTCGTCGAATGTAAACCGTTCCTAAATGAGAAAAAAACATTTATATACAATTTGAGTGGACAATTATGACATGGTTAAAATAGTATTATCGTCATTCACCTGTGTCATACGATACAGGTATCCAAATGGACCGTTCTTATATTTCAAGGCATTCACGACCGGATAACCAGATTGTTCGGTCCACGTGCTCATCACTGTATTAACAGTTTGGTCTTTAACTAATGTCTGTTCACGTTTAGACAATATTTCTTCAAATGCATCCCAAAGATCATTTGGGTTCGCTGATCCTTTCCTAAGAAAAGTTATTCTACATAAACTCTGGACTTTAAAATGTTTTAAATTTATTTTGATGTTACTTACATACGTCGGTTCAAATACAAATTCAATGAATCTTTAAAAACATCTTTTCCAACATAGTTGTACAACATTCTTAACACCGAGGCTCCTTTATTGTACGTTATACGATCAAAATTACTATTAATTTCTTTAGGAGTGGACACTTTGTTCGATAATGGATGCCTTGCTATCTGATCGTACTCTAAAGCAGTTTGATGTTGTTCAACGACAAAAAATTCTGGCAGTTGCCAATCAGGCTCTACCTATAACATATAAATCAACTGTAAAGATGCATTTATATTAGACAAAAAAAAAATGTGAGGAACTTGTTTTTGAATATATTTTAATATTAGAGTTAAATATTACTGTTGCTGTAGCGAAGTATTCAAAAAACGTTGCAAAACCTTCGTTTAACCAAACGTAATCCCACCAGTCGCATGTGACCAGATTACCAAACCATTGATGCGACAACTCATGCTGTATTGTTTTAGTAACGGCTCCTTTATACAGGATTGTCGAATCTTCGGGAAATAAAAGTAATCTTTCTCTAAAAAATACATTATTGTATTATATAGTACTTAGATGTTCTGAACAACTGCATCGAGCACATCATATCATGTAATCGCCCTTCGCAGAGCATTACCTAAAAGTGTTAATTCCCAAGTTTTCCATAGCTCCGAATCCCAGGTCGGGTAAGGCTATCAGATCCAATTTTGGTAATTCGTACTCAATTCCAGTAAATAGTTCCATCGCTTCAAGAAGTTTAGGAGCAATATCTAGAGCATATTCAGTGTGTTGTAAGTATTCTGGGCGAGTGAACACATTAATTTTGGAACTCGATTCCAAGCTAACGAATTCTCCGACAAAGAACGCTACTAAGTATGTGGAAATTGGAGGTGTCTGCTGAAAATGGAACCATGACAAAACTGTCCAATTGTTTGTCAATCCACAAACATCTCTACGAAAAAAGAGTTCAAAACATATGATGTGTTCATAAAATTTTAACGATACAGAAACCTCTAAAAAAAATGTACTTCAATTTTAGTCAAAATCATTATTTTACACTTACATATCATCTTTATATAATATTGGCATATTGGACAATGCAATTTGTTTGTCAGAAACACCAACTATAATATTGAAGGTCACTTTATAGTGCGGTTCATCGTAACAAGGGAACGCACTTCGCGCATATGTTGCCGCAAACTGAGTAACGGCTAGGAATCTGTTAAATAACAACACAGATATTACTTATTATTACTCAATTTTATATTATGACTTATTCAATACTTACTTTTCCGTACTGGTTTTCGATTGGTTATACGAACTTTTGTAAAATCCGGTCATATCGTTTCTGAGTAAACCATTAAATCTGATAGCTATCATGTATTCCTGATTAGGTGGTAACATATCTTCCAACATAATCATTACTTGTTCGTTGTCTTCATCGCACGTCCATTCTTTCAGGGTAATCTCACGTTCGGTGATCACTTCGGTAAACTTAATTGATGTGATTTTTAAATCTTTTGCATGCAAAACCACTTCAGAAGTGATATTTATCGTTGTAATAAATATTTTTACTAAACCGGCGAACGAGGCATCTTTATTTTGAAAATTTGGCGCTACACATAGAGAATATGAGTTTGGAACCGTTGTAGTGGGCAAAAACGTATTAAATCCGTTTAAGCCCTGGGCTAAGGCGTAAAACGCAAGAAATTTTAATAACATTTTACGACACTACTATAATCACTATCGTCAACGAAAGACAAACCGGTCTAAACTGTAAACGTGTGCCGCAGGTGAATATCTATTATCTTATCTTAATATATGAAGAATACTGAATAAGGTTTGACATTATCTACTAATAGGTAATAATTATTTAAATAAAAAAACTTCTTCGATGCGTTGTTATTGTGTGTGTGCAGTGTAAATATTGTTTGAATATCGTTTGTTTAATAATTAACATATTAACCAAGACGGATCAGTATCTTGTGTACTCGAGAAAATGTCAAAACAAAACACATTACTCGTTTTAGATAATTTTTGTGTGGCCATGAATTATAGCTAGTAGATTTTATAGAACAAAAAATACTTAAAATACCAATTATGCTTAATACATTTTGGAATCTAATCTTTTAGTTTAGGTACCAAAAAATTGTTTACAATATTTTCTAAATAAAATTTACCAAACTAGCTTTTATAACAATTTATTTTGTAATAGGAATAAAATTATTCTTGTTTGAAATCAAGAGTTTACAATAATGTAGGAACCTACTATTAATTGATCCGTTAACATTCCTAGTTTTTTGTTATTTATTTATGTATACAAAGTAATTTACTTATTAGAAATCTAAATGACATTTATGAGTGAGGACTTAGTTTGTTACAAACGTTTAAAAACATTGAATATGTCACCTTTCGATTTGAACTATTATTAAGTGCTACTAATAAGTCATGCAAATAATTCATTTCAGTATGGTATAATAATAAACAACAATACTTCTCGTTAGTAAAGCTTAGATTAGATAATCATTAATAACGCTAGATACCTTCTAAGTACTATGCACGTGACAATGGTAACTTTTTTTAATTACCTATAGCAAAAGTTAAACCAGTAATGGGCAATTTTTATTTTAGTCGAATAAGAGAGAGATACAATCTTTATTCATAAAATATCGGCTGCCCAATTGATGGCCTACTAATCAGGACATAATGTTCTAAAGCATTTGTATATATACAATAGTAAAAGCAAAAATGTATTTCAGAATAAAACAATTATAATATGTATTTAAAATAACAAAAATTTAGAATTCAAATTTAAAAGTCTAAGCCACAAAATACAAAGTATATTATTACCTAATTATAAAGTATCTTTTTCATAGCCATCTATTTTTGTACTATTTATATTTATGATATTTATATATCACTAATTTATCTATTTTAAATACAGTTTTAATCTCGAGAAATTTTTTTTGAGTAATATAAAACCTTATTGCACTAAACAAAATTATAATATAACAGATTGAATACTATAATAGATGTTTAAGAATTGACTAATTCACACATGGGTACAAATTCTTGAGACCTTTGGAAATATGTAAATTTAAATGAATTTAAAATTGATTATTTAAATTGTATAATATCTTATAATTTATTTAGGTTAACTTAGTGAACACTACTGCTAAGAGAATCTTATTAAACTAGACAAAATTGTACTATTACAGATGGTATATAATAGATGTTTAAGTAATAATAAATATATCAAACATAAAAATTCCGGTGGTATAATACGCGAATTGCGTTGGTATAACAGTTAAAACACATTACAATATATACTTACATTTAATTAAAATAGATTACTAATACTACTATGTGAATGATGGTTAGGCAAGTGACCGTGCTAAGAGATCCTACAGAGTGTATTGGGCTAGCTGCACTTGTGTGGGGCTTAATCTGAAGATCTTTTGATGAACCCGGCCTCACGAATTCGTGGATGTCAATATAATAAGAATCAAACCATTTCTGATTTAATTCGACCTGCTTGTATACAGCGTCATAACTTTTTTGCAATGTACTTGGAATTCCTGATTTCGATTTTATTTCATTCAACTGAAAAATATCAATTCACAATTAATGTAAGATTAGTTTTTTAAGCTTTAAATGATTAAGTTTGATCTCATTCTGAGTAATTTAGAAAATATATTTTTACTATTGATATGTCTTTATCCAGTGACACTTTTGATGCTAATATTGAGTAAATTGTCTCAGCCACGCTTTCGCCATCAGGTAATTCTTTACTTATACGATCCCAGTTATCTCGAAGGAAAACTAGTAGAGTTTCAATGCCCAATGGCGTGGAAGACAGTGAATTAAAAACAGCTCTGTAATCTTGGGGCCGTATCGGACCGTTCGGTCCTTTCAAAATTAGTTCCACGTAACTGCAAACATTATTAATTAGTTATATAAAAATAATGAATTAATAAATTATATAATGAATATGCGATAAGTAAAATACAGCCCTAAAAGACCTGGAATATCTTCGGCCAGTAAGGGATAGTTAAATATAGAAAATAATTAATAAAATAACACAAAAACCATTTTTAAAAACCATACATTGTGAGGTAGATATATCGCATGTATTATTTAGACGTATGCAGGTTATAATTAGTTATTAAAAACTTTACCAAATTTACACGGAAAACAAAATTTCCAGAAATCTAATAATAAGTTTAATAATAAGAAATTACAACAATGACTACTGCAATGATGTCAACATCATATTTCAATACAAATACTAGACCTAAATAACGATTATTTTAATTATGACTAAATTTAATAAACAACTGATTGCTGAAGAAAGAAAAATAGTTTGCGTTACTTGGTATTTATAATAAAAATGTTATTGTATTAATAATAAAGTTGAGATATATTTAAATATAATGGTTTAAATGGTATTTTTAAAGGCCTTTAATTATCATAGCTTCATAATTTGTTAAAATATTAATTTAAATATGTACTGAGTAAATGCCAAACATTTAGTTTGATACAGTATAGGAATATGAATGACTTACCTTCTTAATAAAGATTGATTTTGTGTACAAGCTAATGCGTTTAGTGCCGAATATCGTTCAGAAGCGGATTGTGTATTCAAGTAAACTTGGAAAACTTCGTTCCAAGTATCTGATTCAGGATGAATGTTCAAACCTACGCAAAAAGCTACGTGTTTTTGATCATCCGGTATCCTATGACAATTGTTTAAAATTATTAGTAAGAAATAATAGTCATCAGTTAATAACAAAAGTAGGAACTTACTTTTCACCTTTCAGCCATGCATTGAAGTAACTAGTTGCCGGTATCACGCAAGTCGGTACATTTAATTTACAAGCCCAAACACTGAATGTGTTCCAACCGGCATTGATGGCGTACGTTTTATTTTTTTTCTCTTCTACTTGAAGTTGTAATTTGGTGAAGATTATTAATGCCTTATCACTAACGTAATTCTAAAGATAACAATGATAAAATAAATTAAAAATGTTTTTTTTCAAATGTAACACTGTTATAGATCAGCTAAAAATAGTTATTACTACCCAGTTGTTGTATTTTATTTATTAAGTCAAAATAATGGAACTAAAAAAACTAAGTTTGTGGCTGATTATAGTTCTTAATATAAAAAAAAATGTTTGTCATTTTTGTAAAAATAACTAGCCAAGTATTTGCATAATAATTTATTTTAATACATTTTATTCGCCTCACCTCAATTTCTGAGTACAAAGGACTGCGTCTCATTCGATCCAAAATATAATTAAAACTGTTCATCACTGAATACCAAGGTATGACATCATTTTCCTTATCCAGATAATTTGTAAGTTCTAAAGGTACTGTGTAGTTTAATCTTCCCGCTCTCGCTAAATTAAAAGAGTCATCAACCAATTGAGCTCTGTTTAAAACGTGTAAAACTTCTGGTGCATTTTTTAGTTGTTCTATTAACGCCAACCAATTGTTGTTTTCGTAGTTCACTCTGTAAAATCCTTTTAAAACGATATAAATGTAAGCACTATTTAGTTACATTTTGTTGCTTTTTAAAATATTGGGTATCAATGTTTTACCAGTAGACTGTAGGTTGACAATATACCATTTGTAAGACATCACGGGATGGTCAGGTTTAAGAATATATTCATCATCTTTGGGATTCAACCAGAAAACAGGAGTTAAATTATCAAAAGTTGGTTTCAAATCATTTGCTATTGTAACACCAATAAACCATTTAGTGGAATGATTAACAAGGGGTTCGTCGACTGTAAACTTTTCCTAAATTAGAAAAAACATTATTTTATTTATAATATGCTATTTGACTTGACAAATATAATATGATTAGAAAAGTGTTACCTGTGTAAATCTGTACCCATATTCAGAAACAGCGTCGTGCGCTTTTGTCACATTTACCACCGGATAACCAGATTGCTCGGTCCACGTGCTCATGACTTCGTTTACAGTATGGTCTTTAACTAATGTTTGTTTGCATTTAGCCAATGTTTTTTCAAATGCATCCCAAAGATCACTCGGTCTTACCGATTCCTCCCTTAAAAAAAGTTAGTCCACATAAACTCTGAGTTTAAAAACGCTGTAAACAGCTATATAATGGTACTTACATATGTTTGGTCAAATACAAATTCAAAGCTTCTTTAAAAACATCTTTTCCAACATAACTGTACAACATTCTTAACACTGAGCCTCCTTTATTGTACGTTATATGATCAAAAGTATTATCTATTTCTTCAGGAGTGGACACTTTGTTCGATAACGCATGCCTTGCTATCTGATCGTACTCCAAACCAGTTTGATGTTGTTCAACAACAAAAAATTCTGGCGATTGCCAATCAGGTTCTACCTATAAATTTTAAGCCAACTATAAGAATTCATGTTTTTAGACAAAAATTATAAAGTAAGTAACTTATTTTTGTATAATATAGAAGCATTTTATTCTCAAAGATTATTAGTGTTAGAAAAATGCTCAATATCTAGCTAATTGGTAATAAATATTAATGAAAAGTGTTTTTTTGAAAACACTTTATAAAAAATCTTTATTCTAAGATAAAAATAGTTTGTAAGTGTTTTATTACTAAATAAAAAACGATTTAACTAAAACCATTCAGATTAAATGTTGTATTTTTTTATTTTACTATCATAGAATTTAAATATTATACTTAAGTGTTAATTTATGATTATGAATAAATTATTACTGTTGCTGTAGCGAAGTATTCAAAAAACGTTGCAAAACCTTCGTTTAACCAAACGTAATCCCACCAGTCGCATGTGACCAGATTACCAAACCATTGATGAGACAACTCGTGCTGTATTATTTTAGTAACGGCTCCTTTGTACAGCGTTGTCGAATCTTCAGGCAATAAAAGTAATCTTTCCCTAAAATACACATCATCGTATAATTAAAGACAAAATTGATCAGAACGACTGCATCGAAAACATAATAATCATATGTAACCGCAAAGCATTACCTAAAAGTGTTCATTCCCCAGTTTTCCATAGCTCCGAATCCCAGATCGGGTAAGGCTACCAGATCCAATTTTGGTAATTCGTATTTAATTCCAGTAAACAATTCCATTGCTTTGAGTAGTTTAGGAGCAACATCTAGAGCATATTTAGTCTGTTTTAAATAATAGTTATCGTTGCGGGTGTACACATTCACTTTCGAACTCGAATCCCAACTAACGAAATCACCGACAAAGAACGCTACTAAGTATGTTGATATTGGGGGTGTCTGCTGAAAATGGTACCATGTCAACCTACGGCCAGAATCCAATGCATAAACATCTCTGCGAAAAAAAAAAGTTCGAATAGTTATGATATGTTTTTGAAATTCAAACGTTACAGAAATCTTTTAAATAATCGTTTTAGTCAAACTTGATATTTATACTTACTTTTGATCTTTATACAATAGTGGCATGTTTGACAATGCAATTTGCTTGTCAGGAACACCAACTGTAATATTGAAGGGCACTTTATAGTGCGGTTCATCGTAACAAGGGAACGCACTTCTCGCATATGTTGCCTCAAACTGAGTAACGGCTAAGAAACTGTAAAACAACAACACAGATATTACTTAGTGTTACTCGATTTTGTATTATTCAATACTTACTTTTCTGCGCCGGTTTGCGATTGGCTGTACGAGCTTTTGTAAAATCCGGTCATGTCGTTTCTGAGTGAACCATTAAATCTGATAGCTATCATGTATTCCTCATTTGGTGGTAACATATTATCCAACACAATCTTTACTTGTTCGTCTTCTTGAATGAATTTCCATTCTTTTACAGTGATCTCACGACTAGTGCTAACTTTGGTGACATTAACTGACGTGATTTGTAAATCTTTTGAATGCAAGATCACTTCACCAGTGATCATTTCAGTTTGAATGAGTATTTCTACTAAACCGACAAACGAGGCATCTTTATTTTCGAAATTCGGCGATATAGCTAGAGAATATGACTTTGGAACCGTAGCAGTGGGTAAAAATGTATTAAATCCATTTAAGCCCTGAACTAAGGCGTAAAAAGTAAGAAATTTGAACAACATTTTGAGACACTAAATAGCGCAACACTACTAAAATCACTATCGTCAACGAACGACGAACCGGCTTAAACTGTATACTTGTGCCGCAGCTGAATATGTTTTATCTTATTCGAATGGATGAATAATGCTTAAAAAGGTTTGTCTTTATCTACCAATGGGTTATAAGTATTTAATTACCAAAACGTCTCCAACTCAGTGTAAATAGTATTTGAATGACGTTTGTTTATTCATCAACATATTCTCAGAAAAATACTTTGAGTAACCAAAACGGATAAGTATACTGTGTACTCGAAAAAATTGCAAAAAAAAATCCATTACTCATTTTAAATATTTTTAAACGAATGGCCATGATTAATAGCTTATCGGTTTTACAGAATAATAATTTGAAGATACAAACTTTTTATCATATCTAAAATACTTATTAAATACCTATAAAAAATAATTAAAAAATTAATCTTTATGTTTAGTTAACAAAATATTTTTTAAAGTTTAAAACTTCTAATTTTTATCACATAAACCCTTAACTATTATTATTGCTTAATACTTTTAATCCTAAGCGATGGTATCAAATTAAGGAAAATGCTATTTAAATTATAACACATGTAAATCTTTCTTTGTTTGAAATCAAAAGTTATCAAAAATCTTATTGTTAATTGATTCTACAAATTAAGTTTAAAACAATCATGTTTAATCGAATAAATGATTTTCTTGTAAGAACTCCATTTGCTATAATTTTTTTATGACATAAAAGTAATCTTATTTTGATTTTGTATTATCAAGTTATACTATAATGAGTCATGCAGATAAGTACATAATATTATGACATTTATTAATTTATTATTACTATGATATTATAGTAATTCATAAAAATTATTGTGTGTAAAGCATAGATTAGATTAGCCTTGCATGCGACAGCGACAAATTGTTTAAGTATAGCAAAAACTAAGCCACCGGTTTTAAGCAATTTTTATTTTAGTTGAATATTGAAAGTTTATTTTAGATTAAAACGATATTAATAATGTATTTTAAATTACAAATAAAATAGTTGCCAATAAAATTAAACAATTTTAGTAAAGAAGACAAAATACATTATTTAGGAATTATGAAGTATTTTTTAAGCTTTTATTATTATTTTTTTTTGTATATCACCTTTATGTTTATTTTAAATACAGTTTTAGTCTCGAGAGTATCATTTAGTTGTAATATGATAGTTTAGACCATTTTTTAATTTATTAATAATTTTTTTTTAACAGAATGTCTCTTATAAATTTAAATAAAGACTTTGTTTTCAATTTCTAGGTCATGTTTGTTTTGTACACTGCTACACTTATTTCAATTTCCAATTATCTAATAATTACAGGCTACATTAGGTATTCATTATATTATTATTGTTTTGTAGATAAATAATTTGTACTCAATTGAATACTGACAATTTGTTAACAAGCACAGCGTTCGTTATATGCCAAATAAGTATCTGTATTTTACATTTTGTAATAATTAAAACAACTATTATACTACTTACTCCACTAATACTACAAAATATATTTCAACAAGTCACGTTATCCTGAGTTCGTTGTATATGTATACATTTATTATATTATTTGTATTTAATTTTTTTGTTATCTAAATTAAACATACATTTATTATTTAATTTTCACCAGCTCTTAAAGACATTCATACTACGAATACTATATCATGATATTTTGTTACAACTTTGTTTTTTCTTTATTTTTTTACTATTTATATGATACTTGGTTTGGTATATATTATACAACTTGCTAATGAAAATATGATAAGAATACTATTTGCATAGTCCGTTACTATAGGTATCTATACTATGTGTACGCTGTCTAATATTAGATATTCCTGTGCATTACATACAACTTTAATAGATACTTAACGGGTATAATAATATAATACGATGTATGAAATTATATATTTGGAATAGGGTATAAAAATGTAAGTTTCCATATTTTTAAAAGAAGAGTTGAATGTATCTTTGTGCCAAAAAATCGCCTTCATCAATTATTATGAAAAAAGTATTATATGGGTAGGTTATAAGTATATATAAATTTGGTCACACCTAAATTTATATATTTTTATGTTTATTTTTAATACTACTAATGTTTTATAGCAATAATAAAATACTATTAAGGTAAATACTCACAACTGTGAGTATTTATTTTTAGACATAACACAAACTGATATGCTAAAAACCCAATTGTAAAATCGCGATAAGCAAGGTACATAATTTTGACCGAATCCAGTTATTTGTATTTTAACTGAGCTCTAAGTAAACCGGTAATTGGAATTTCCAGAGGCAATTTCACTGGCAAACATCATTATTTGCTTTATACACATGATCATGATAAATTTAAAAAAGTTTTGCTGATAACGCATGGAATGACCCTGAATAATCGTTTTACACGCATTAAGTATCGTTGTTAAAAAAATATTGTAAAGACTATAGTGTAAATTGTATTTAAAGTAGCAGGTTGGATGCCATTTTTTTTCTGTTATCATTCGAACTTACCTTATAATATTGACCCTGATAAGATATTTTAGCATAGACTATTGTTTTGCGATGACCAACTTACACAATATACTTGTTGAACCATACAGTCATAATTATTATGGGACCAAGTTAAACTGCGCAGTAAATATTAAAAAAAAAATACCACAAGAAAAATACAACATCGTGTTTACAAACAACAGCTAGACCTTCAAATAAATTGCGTTTGCATCGTTTGTTAAAAATTCAATGCATAAACGCAATTAATGCGTTTTAATTTACAATACCTAACACATTAAATGTATAGTACCTATTTTAATAAAGGACACATATTTAACGGGCACACATCTCGATGGATTTGGACAAAAATTGATATTAACGTATCATTAAAAAAAATTCACTTCAATAGTTTTTATTCAAAAAGTTTTAATACAACAAACAAAATAACCAATTTTAGTATAAACAAGCTATTGTAATGCGAGTTACCCGACGAAATTTCTATGTCGTCATAATCTTCAGTAGTGTCTTTGTCATACGGCACTGTTGTAGCATTTGTCGTATATTGTGCTGTGGTTGCGTTAGTAGTAAAATGTGTAGGTTGGGTCGTCCTATGTGTTGGAGCAAGAGTCGTTGGCTCGTCGGGCAACACTGGCACTCCCAACCATAGATTGACTGAATCGTGATACTCGTTGAACCAGTAAATATTGAGTTCGACGAGGCGATAAGATCTCTCAAAAGACTTCTTAAGCGATTGTGGTAACTCGGGAACGGACTTCAGTTTGTATAGCTGCAATTTAAATCAATAAAAACAAGCAATTATATTATACCTGAAAGAGAATATACAGTTCATTAAGTCTTAGTCATGCCTTGATTATTTCTCTGTCGAGGGACACTTTTGAAGCAAGGGTAGCGTATATGAATTTAACAACTTCTTCACCGTCAGGTACTCTTCTGACGATTTGTTCTAAATTATTCATAAGGAAATCGGTGAGTACTTCAATGCCTATGGGTGTTGAGACCATGGCGGTACATATGTCCCTGAAGTCTTGCAACCGTACTGGACTTTTTGCACCGTCGAAAATGAAATTCAAATATCTTAAACACAACAATAAGCGTTTAAGAAAAAAAATGTTCTACGAGAATTAGTTTGAACATGTGCCATAATATACCTGTTAAGCAGTCGTGGATTGGACGTGCACGTCAACGCTGTTTGCGCAGATTCCTTTTCCGAGATAGAGTTAGTGCTGGTGTACACATCTAACATATCATCCCAAGTCGCCGACATGTTACTAGCCATCACACCCACACAGAAAGCAGCATCCTTGATATCCGCTGGTATGCTGTAACGGGATTGTTCAAAATCAGTTATCGTACTAAAGTCTTCTGCCGCAATAAACGATTAATCATTATTGTTGCTCACTCTTTTCCCGACTGCCACCTCTTGAAATACTCCAAATTGTTCCTAACACATTTTTGACTGTTTAGAGAACAAGCCCACGCAGAGAATACATTCCACTTGATTAGCGCTTCATATTGGTCTTTATCGTATTCCTGTACAGACGTTTCCGCTTTCACATAAATTATTTCGGCCAAGTTACGCACATAATCCTGTTAAATATTCAGACATGGGCTATATTTTTCTCAATTTCCAGCTAAACATTGAATTTCGGTAATATTAACCTTTAAATAGTCATAACCGTCCACGCTGCGTCTCATTCTTTCCAGTAAATAAGAAAAACTGAGTATGGACGAATACCAAGGTATGGCGTCTTCTTCTTTTTCTAAGTACTTCGACAGCTCCAACGGTATAGAATAATTAAGCAGACCAGCTCTTGCCAAGTTGAAAGAATCGTCTATAAGCTGGGCCCGATTGAGAACGTGTACTTCACGATAGGATTCGTTTAACTGTTGTATCAAAGCCAACCAATTGTCACTGGCGTAATTCACTCTGTAAAAACCTATTCAGGAAAAAAGGGACTAAATAAAAACAAATATGCTAATTCCAATCCACGAACTCATTAGACCATTCACAATGTGTCATGAATGTCAAAACTGTAGACAATTCAGTACTAAATATTTTGTGGACACCATAAATTGGGAATGATCTAATCGTTAAACACCATGTGCGATCAACTACCAGACGATTGTAAATTAAAAATGAACCATTTCGCATTGTCTTTCATCTTAACGGTCATGTTCTTCGCCATGTCCATCCAAACTGTTGATGTCAAATTTTCAAAGTTTTTAACTTTATCAGTTGTATAAGTCAACCCGATAAACCATTTCGAAGCGTCCGTACCGTTGGTCGGGTACACTGTGAACTTTTCCTAATGTGCAAATTTCAACAAGTTAACAAAACTAGCCCATCATAATTTGACGACTCCAATGCTTCACTAACTTGAGTAATAGTAAACCCCTCGTTTGTGTTCTTCACGTGTACGACAGGATATCCCGGTTGTTCGGTCCATGACATCATGAAATAGGTAAACGGCACACGTTTGTCCAGTTCAAATCGGTTATCAAAGTAATAGTTGTCAAAAATCGCCCACAAATCTCTCGAACTTGCCGAGCCGAACCTAAGCAAAATAACACCAGTTAATTCAACCGTTCATTCTGAATGTACAAACTTGTGGAACACTGTATCATACGGTTGGATTTCACTAAAATCATTGTGCCTTACTCGGATTGATTCAAATACAACGTCAGCGGTACTCGAAAATTGGTCTCTCCGACAGTGTTTTTTAACATTCTCAAAACAGCTGCAGCTTTATTGTACGTTATTTGGTCGAACATGTCGTCGATGTCTTCTGTGCTTAGCACTGACCAACTGACAGGATGAGCTGGTAGCTGATCTAAGGCCAGTGCGGTTTGGTGTTGTTCAATTACAAATAACTTGTCCATGCGCCATTCGGGATATATCTGTAATCACAGTTAATTAGGTTAACACGTACACGTACCACGTACTACGGTTGGTGCGATTGAATTTTTGGCTTACAGATTGAATGATGAAGTATTGAAAGAATACGGCGAATCCTTTTTTTAACCATACATCTTTCCACCAGGAACAAGTGACTAGATTGCCGAACCACTGCTGAGCCAGTTCGTGTTGAATCATTGAAGTGACTTTGACTTTAGCTCTGGCCGACGAATTTCCATTGACAAACAGATACTTCTCCCTTTAGTAACAATAGTTTAATAATTTATTGTTCACAACGTGACGACAAAATAGTCAAGTTAAAAAAGTCGTATACCGAAAGGCACTCAAGCCCCAATTCTCCGTTCCTGAGCCCCCAAAGTCTGGCACAGCCACAATGTCCGTTTTGGGCCACTCATATGGTATCCTGGTGAAGTTTTCCATGGCATCAAGTAACATTGGGATTTTCTCGAGAGCATAATCTATTTGAGTAGCGTATTTACTACGCGTGTAAATGTTAACGGTTAAGTCGTCTGGCATCTCATTCGTATTTCCATCGAATTTACCAACGAACATTGACACCATGTACGTTGAAATCGGTGGAGTAGTTTTGTAGCTATCGACTATCCAATTAGGATATCCACTATAATATAACGAACAGATACGAAAAAGCTTAATAAACATTTAGTATTTTTCAAGTACATTGTACAGTGTAGCTTACATGAATACTGTGGAATTGAGTTCCATATTAGACAAAGACATTTGATGGACTCTCCTCGCGATACTAATGCTGAACGGTGTTCGGTAAGCAGGTTCGTCGTAACATGGGAACATTCTCCTAGCGTACGTAGGCTCTAATTGTGTTGAAGCTGCCCACCTAAGATTGGGAAAATCATAAAAAAAAATAGATAATTTTTAACAACACTGAAATTTATTTATGTAATGCTTTACATATTTTCTTTTACAAAAATCTGAAAAGAATAAAACGATAAAAAATTGATCACTCTACATAAAGTAATTTTTTACAACCAAAATCATTATATTTCATCAAAAAGTTATACCCTAAAACTTATACAATTATGATTTGACATGATCAAAATAATTTCAAAAAAATATTTTGTCAAATATTGTTACTCGAGTGACTAATATTACACAACTTTACCCAATAGAGAAATTTGTATTTTCTTTGTCACCTTACAATAAACACAGATAAACGACCGAATAATCTTGATCTCTATGTATTATTATTATATGTTGACTATGTATTAAAACGAAATATTTTTAGATCACACTTTATTGTCTTTGATGTAAATGATAACATTTACACACAATGCACGTTTTGACAAATTTATCATTTTAAACCTGTAAAGTATAAACTTACCTCGTTATGGTTAATTTATATATTTACAAACATTATAACGATGATGACCAAATTTGTGTTATTAGGCTCGACAATAATATGTGCAGTACTATGTCGTTACAGTATGTCTCACAGGATTCAATCGATATTATTAAAAGGTTTGCCGGTACTCACTGTAAAATACCGTCCACTTTGTATGAACTCTTATAGAATCCGGTCATATCAGCCCTGAGCAACCCTTGAAATGGAATTGTCACCCGGTAATTTCGACCGACCAGCAATGGCTTTTCAGTGTAGATCTTCAATCGTTCATAGTCTGTGAACTGTTGACCAATTACGCCGATCGGTGTTTGAGTAATGCATTCCTCGATCTTGATTTCGCCCACTTCGATTTGCACGGCGTTCAATGTTATCACTTGGGTAATCCGCTTCACCAGTATAGTGATTTCCACGTAGCCGACAAACGGGAAATTAGGCGGTGGTCTATCAAAGTCGGGGCCACATCGTAAAAGGTAAAAAACCGGCACGGTATCGCCGGGTAACCGGTATAGATCTTCTTCATTGTCGGATTGACATTTGCCTGAAGTAAAAACCCCAAGTATGAATAATATGATTACCGCGAATAGTCTGAACATAACGGAATACGCGCTCGCATGAGTGTAGTTGGAAAACGTAATTAAAACAAAATAAACGCCTAAAATTAAGTTGTAAATTACAATAATTTTTAAATGGGTTAGCAATCTCAACGAATGTTATCTTTCTGAAGTGTTTTGACGGGTTGACACTCGTTACCTGAATGCCGATGAAAAGCGTACACGTACTATCATTGTTTAAAAAAAAAAAAAAATACAAATGTATAATAGTTTTTTTACGATGACTTAAGACGCGTCACAATAAAATTAAGCTAATCAGACTACTTTAAGTGTGATGTGAGCCGTGAAAAGTACTCACCATAGTTATGTGTAAACATCTTATTTCGGGTTCTACATAAAATTAAAATTAAAAAAAAAAGCTGAACTTATCTTGTGCGAGAACTTTATTGAGAAACGATTAATATTTTATATTGTTGATATTATTGGTTTATGATAACTATAATGCGATACATAAACAAAAGACCGTATGTTGTCTAATTTTCGCTGGAACACTGCATCTATACTGTGCCTCATTGTGTAGTATTCGCTTGTCTATCAGAGTTTATATTATGTAGGTAAGTGTATTTCAGAAATTTATGGGACTCTCTCCTTCTGTACTGAAGTTGACGTTAAAATCTCCACTGATTAACCAAGGCAGAACGTGATAGTTCTACTTATTCTAATTATTTATTTTCTTTAACCTTACTTGTATATAATAATTTTACCTGTATTTTTGTAAAATACAGTCCATTTTAGTATGATATATTATATGTAAATGTGTAACTAAACTATAAACACAAGAATACAAAATGAACACAGGATGCAATTATTAAATTTTGTATATTTTGGTGAAAATAATAGTTAGCGTTTTTAGAAAATATTACCTATTGTTATTAAAACAAAAACAAAAAATATCATTTCAGTTTACAAATTGAAAGGAAAAAATATAATATAATATTATTTTGCTAAAAATGAATAAAATGTTAGTGTATTGTGCTGGATGCCTTGTCAACCTCTTGGAAATTCGCCCACGTAAAACGATACTAAGTTGGTGGAAATTGGAGGAGTCGTTTCAAAACGATCGTACACTTTACTGCCCGGGTCGCATTTACGTCTGTGTAAAACAAAATAAAATGTACGTCTTATCATATTTGGTATAAAATTGTGGCGACCACTTACCCGACACAATCTCCATAATAATCGGTCTTGCTCAGCGGCATGTTGGATGATGCTCTTTGGTAGTATTCCCTCATTACCGATATCTTGAATGGAACTTTTATAGAGGGTTCGTCGAAACACGGGAATGCACGCCTGGCATATTTCGGATAAAAATGCGTTATGGCCGACCATCTGTATAAGAATACGGATTAATTAATAATGTGATTTTCCTGGGACAACTATATTGTCCCGAGACAATATAAAAAAATTGGACAACACTTTATAATCAACGACGAACATTACATTTATGAATTTTTGAAATTAATTTATTAATATTATTCCAAAAATGTAATTCATACCTAGTGTCTTTCCTTTCGTAGATGTGAGAGCTCTTGTAGAATCCCGTCTTATCGTCCCGGAGTTTTCCGGCAAAAGAAATTTTCAAAACGTACTTTAGACCGCTCACCAAATGTTCCTTGACGTGGATTTCGAGTTGTTCGTTTTTGGGCACCTCCACTATGTTGGCCACGGATATGGGCCGACTTGACTGTACATCGCTAACCGAGACGTTGACGATGCTAAGATCTTTCGAATTCAAAGTGATGACTTTTGTACTGTGTGCCTTAATGACAATGACAATGGTTACATCGCCTTGGAACGTAAAGTTTGTGAAGATCGGGTTGATGGTTAAGTCGTACGACTCTGGACCGATGTCGTTGGGCAATTCGAAAACGTCCATTTTGCCATCGCCATTTTTAACCGATCCGTGGATTCCGAAAACGGAATTGCAAGCTATTAACAAAATCACTGGAATAATTGTGGCCGTCATTGTTCTGGCAGAGTCTTCAACTGTATGTAAACTGCCTTAGCATTTGAAATCCTTAAATACCTATATTTTGAATTGTGCACTTGTCTAATCTTCGAAAACTCTTCAAAATTCTCAAGGGTTAACACATTCCAGTGTTTGAATTTTAAATACTTAAGTACTTATGAATTTGAATTTTACACTAATCTAATCTACAAAAACTTTTCAAAAAACTTAAGAATGGCATTACCGTTTTCGTTCTTTGGTGTAAAAAAAAAATTATTCGATAAATTGACTAATAAGAAAATGTTACATCAGCGGATTGGAATGCATTTTATAAGAGTTATACTGACCTGAAAAAAATATACTCGTTTAAATGATATCTTTTCAATAGTTTAAAGTTTAAGAGGCCAGATTTCTACTTTATAATAGACAATTTTAAAAATGTTTACTTTTGAATTTGAATTCTTCACTTATCTATTTTACGAATACTTTTGGAAAAACTCAAGGGGTGACAATTAAAGAATGTGTTACTTAGAAATTCATCTACATATATTTTGTAACATAAATTGTATAAATACATTATATTGCTAATGCCTTAGCCTTTGCAGCAAAAAAAAAAATTGATGAATTTACTAATAAGAAAATGTCACATCAGCGAGTTTAAATGAATTTTATAGGAATTAATTTCCAGACAAAATAAATAAACTCGTTTACATGATATATGTTTAATAGTTAAAGTTTAAAAGGTGAAATTCGTATTTTGTGACAGAAAAAAAATGAACAATATTTTATTATGGTAAAAACTCTAAAATTGTGAAACTGTTAATGCGTCTTGTTAGAGTGATAACTTTGGTATTTTGTTGACTGATGTTTTTTACTTAAGAGGATTGTTGATAAATATTTTTATCTAAGAGATTGAAGACGGACGGGTTTTAAGGAGTTTATGTAGCAATAATTAAGAAAAAAAGTATTTTAATAAATTTTCACGTGCTAATTTATTAAAAGAGTCGTTTTTAAAGTCTTTAATGTAATATTTTCAACTCCCAACAATTTTTTCAATGATTTATCGCCATTTTGGTTATATTTTCCACCTAAAAGCCTGACAAAATTACTTCAGATTTAAATTCTGTAAGTTATTTGAGTCCTTTGACTAATTTACTAGGTTAGGTTATGTAGGAAACCTTTATTCCTACTTTTATGAGCAACACTGCTCATTTTATTTGTATTGCTTAACACTTGGCCAGTTTCTGAGTGATGCCTAAAACAGACTTGACCACAATGTAGATATTACTACGTTGATAGGCTGACGTTCCTGAGAGGGGACCTGGAATTTGGTCCTTTTTTTACGGTTAGGTTTTTGCTGGGAATATCATTCCTTTTTTTCTAGCTTCAGCATCGTAAGTTTCGTCTGGGGTTTTCACGAGGCAATGGAAATAATATGTATGTCGAATAGATGAATATTCATGCACGTCACTTCACACATTTAGAACTACCCTCCATAAAGCGCACTGATTTTGAATATGGAAATTTCCAGATTTTTCCCTTTAGTTACACTATAAGATAAGCTACATAAGTTTAACCTATGTTTCAAATTTCAAAAACCCTTCTTAAGAGGTAGCATATATTGGTCTATAAAAAGATACATTAGCATGCTTGCTGGAACTTAGCCTCGTGCATTGCCATGCGCTCATACTGTGTTTATTTTATTGGAAAAACAAAAGTATATAATATAATTTAGACAAACAAATAAGTAAAAACAGTCAGACCATCAATTGTGTTGACTAAACTCATAACGACTAAAATTCAATTTTGTAAAAGTTTTCAAAATGTATAGAAAGTAGGGAATTGAATCAGTTTAATATTATTTTGAAAAGGGTAATGTGATTTATACATTTTTATGAATTTTTTCATACGGCAATATACGGGTGACTTTTTTACATAGTTAAAATATTGTGAAAATACAAATGTTCAAAAATGGTCAAACATTTTCCTTGTAAACCAGTCTCAAACCATGTAGAAAATTGACATACATTTACCTAACCTAACCTATTTATACAAATTATATACTAAATATTGGTATGAAAATAATAGATTTTATCGGAATGGGGGTGGGGGGAAATGTATGTATTTTGTTTTATTTAGCTCCACACCATTAGCGTGTTGCTGGATATATGTGCAATGTGCAGTGCATACACATTTTAAAATTTTAGTAAATTTAAATGATATTAAAACATTTTGACCCAAAAGCAGGCGAATCTGTTGTGACTGGGCGAATGCCGTTCACACTGAATATCATTTGATCTTACTGTCGCGAAGGCGAACGAATAAATATATATTATATATATATAAATATAAATACAGTTAATTTGCTGAATTTTTAATATATTTATTCCACCTCACATAGTGCCCCCCCCCCCCTAAAAAAAGTCTAAATAGAACACTGACTACATAGTCACATAAGAAATTGTTAATAATTTAATATGTTGCGTAGTATTCTTAACTCTAAAATTGTTAAACACTCATTATTGCCACTTGTTAGATTGATAACTTTGGTATTTTATTGACAAACAATTTTTACTTAAGGGGATTGAAGGGGACGGTTTTTAAGGAGTTTTATATAAACAATAATTTAGAAAAAAAAGTGTTTTAATTGAATTTTAAAAACTTAAATACTTATGAATTTGAATTCTTCACTTGTCTAATCTAATAGAAGCTTCTCATAATACTCAAGAAGGACTTAACTCATAATGACTAATTCAATTTTATAAAAGTTTTAAAAATGTATGTGTAGTCAGAAACTATAAGTATATTTTTAAAACCACTCATGGTCATCATATAAAAAAAAGTACATGTAATTTTTTAAAACAGCCAGAAAACGTAAAATGTTGTGTTTAGCCAAGTCATTGATTAATTTGAGTAAGATTTTATTTGAGAGAAAATGGAAAGGTGTACTGTCTGGGCATTATTTCTTTTAAATAATGTTGCTTATGCAACAATAAGAGCTTTATTGCTACCTACTACATCGTCACATAAGTCTTAAACATTAATTATTGTCAGTTATTAGATTTATAATTTTGATACATGAAAGAGTGAGACATAAAACAGACTTGAACAAAATGTAGATACCACTACTTTAATAGGCTGACAATCTTGAGTGGGGGCCTGGAATTTTTTTACGGTTAGGTTTGTGTTGGGGATATTATTCTTTTTTTTGCTGGCTTCAGCATCGTTAGCGTCGTCTACGGCAATGGAAATAATATGTATGTCGATTGGATAAATATTCATGCAGGTCACTTCACACATTTATAACTACCTTCCCTAAAGCGGCACTACTTTTGAGAATATGGAAATTTTCAGATTTTGCCCTTTACTTACATTATAAAATATGCATTTATGCGAAATTTTACGTTTTTACCTATATGGTAAATGACATATAGTTTAATGATAAGTGAGTAAATCAGTCAGTAACAAAAATGCAAACTTTGAAATCCTCCCTTTTTAAAGAGGATTAATATTAAAGGCTCATTTTTTTACAGTGTCCTAAGGTACTTAAGTTTCACCTATACTTTAAATTTCAAAAGGCCCTCTTAAGAAGAAGCAGAGATAGTAGGGTGAAAATATCTGGGTTAATTTGTCCATATAAAGATACACAAGCATGCTAACTAGAACTTAGCATGTTGTGTACAACACGATCAAAACTGTGTTAGCAACACCATTTTAAATACATAGATGCGTTTTAAAAAGATATTACTAACAGGTACATAATTTCTTTTTTGAAGATATTCCTTAACTTACTAAGTTTGTTTATGCAATTTTTGTAAAAAAAAATATTGTCTAGTATACCCGTAAAAGGGTAACTTTTTTATCGAGGGCAAAATGTTTAGCAACTCGAATTAAGTCGATTTTAGTATGAGATTTTTTACAAAATGTATTATATGTAAATGTATAACTAATTGTAAACTATAAACACAGAAGACAAAATGAACACAGCAGGTAAGTGATTAATTTCGTATATTTTGTTGTAAATAATCATTAGCTTTTTTAGAAAATATTACCTATTATTATGTCTACTATTATAATTTATACTATAATAAAAATGTTATTGTATTTTTCTGGTTGCCTTGTCGTCCTCTTGGTATTCGCCTACGTAAAACGATACTACGTTGGTGGAAATTGGAGGAGTCGTTCCAAAACGGTCGTACACTTTATTGCCCGGGTTGCATCTCCGTCTGTGCAAAACAAAACAAAATGTACGTCTTATCATATTTGGTATAAATCTTGGCGACTACTTACCCAACACAATCTCCATAATAATCGGTCTTGCTCAGCGGCATGTTGGACGTTGCTTTTTGGTAGTATTCCCTCATTACCGATATCTTGAATGGAACTTTTATAGAGGGTTCGTCGAAACACGGGAACGCACGCCTGGCATAAGTCAAATCAAATTGCGTTTTGGCAGACCATCTGTATAGGAATACTGATTGATCAATAATGTGACTTTCCTGGGACAACTATATTGTCCAGAGACAATATAAAAAAATTGGACAACACTTAATAATCAACGACGAACATTACATTTATGAATTTTTGAAATTAATTTATTAATATTATTCCAAAAATGTAATTCATACCTAGTGTCTTTCCTTTCGTAGATGTGAGAGCTCTTGTAGAATCCCGTCTTATCGTCCCGGAGTTTTCCGGCAAAAGAAATTTTCAAAACGTACTTTAGACCGCTCACCAAATGTTCCTTGACGTGGATTTCGAGTTGTTCGTTTTTGGGCACCTCCACTATGTTGGCCACGGATATGGGCCGACTTGACTGTACATCGCTAACCGAGACGTTGACGATGCTAAGATCTTTCGAATTCAAAGTGATGACTTTTGTACTGTGTGCCTTAATGACAATGACAATGGTTACATCGCCTTGGAACGTAAAGTTAGTGAAGATCGGGTTGATAGTTAAGTCGTACGACTCTGGACCGATGTCGTTGGGCAATTCGAAAACGTCCATTTTGCCATCGCCATTTTTAACCGATCCGTGAATTCCGAAAACGGAATTGCAAGCTAGTAACAAAATCACTGGAATAATTGTGGCCGTCATTGTTCTGGCAGTCTTCAACTGTATGTAAACTACCTTAGCATTTTAAATCCTTAAATACCGATATTTTGAATTGTTCACTTGTCTAATCTTCGAAAACTCTACAAAATTCTTAAGGATTAACACATTTCATGCCGCCGTCAGGTTACTGCATGTCCACTATACGTTGACACCGGTCATAGGCGCCTGTTTACTGATGTCAACCACGTGTTACAGACAAAATAAATATATTCGTTTAAATGATATCAGTATAATAGTCTAAGTTCAAAAGACGTGATTCGTTTTTTGTGATAGAAAATATAAAAAAAAATTAATAATATTTAATTATTGGAAAATTAAAAGTATATATACTTAACTCTACTATTGTGAAACACTAATTATTACCACTTATTAGATTGATAACTTTGGTATTTTGTTGACTAATATTTTTTATCTAAGAGGATTGTTGACAACTATTTTTTACTTAAGGGGATTGAAGGCGGACGGGTTTCAAGAAGTTTTATGTCGCAATAATTATAAAAAAAAGTATTTTAATACATTTTGACATGCTAATTTATTAACAGATTCATTTTTAAAACCTTCAATGTATTATTTTTAACTTACAATTTTTTCAATGAGTAATTGCCATTTTGGTTATATTTTTTACCTAAAAGCCTGACAAAATTACTTAAGCTTGTCCGATTTAAATTCTGTAAGTGATTTCTTTGACTACTTTACTAGGTTAGGTGTTACGTAGGAAACCTTTATTCCTACTTTTATGAGCAACACTGCTCATTTTATTTTTATTGCTTAACACTTGGCCAGTTTCTGAGTGAGGCCTATAACCGACTTGACCACAATGTAGATATTACTACTTTGATAGACTGACGTTCTTGAGTGGGGGCCTGGAACTTGGTCCTTTTTTCAAGTTTAGGTTTGTGTTGGAGATATTCTTTTTTTTGCTGGCTTCAGCATCGTGAGTGTTGTCTGAGGTTTTCACGAGGCCCTGGAAGAACCATGTCGATTGGGTATTCATGCAAGTCACTTTACACATTTAGAAATACCCTCCATACAGCGCTATAATTTTGAGAAAATGGAAATTTCCAGATTTTTTCCTTTAGTTACACTATAAGTATATATAGTTACACTATACTGAATTTCTCAAAAATCGAACCTCAAAAGTCATGTTTCCCAAAAATCGTAAATCTCATAAATTATATATTTCTCAATAATAATAAATGTCTCAAATCATTAACGTCAATAAAAAATTAGACATGACCTTAGCCAAAAAATTTCTCAAAAAACCATTAATTTACTTTTTTTCACACATATTGAATTCAAAATAGTTGTTCCCATTTAAAAATCAAACGGGATATTTTATTTACATATAAGAGTTCGAGATTAAAATGTTCTGAATATTGAAAAATGTAGTACAATATGAACCCACAAAGAATAGAAAAAAAAAATTCTTAAAATATTAAAATTTTCCGAGAAAATGAGTGTCTTATGGCAGTTCGTCACCCTATAGATTTTAGTATAAAAGCGTGTTAAGCTATTTTCTTTAAAAGATTCCGGTAGTTGAATATAATGAATAAAACAACAACAACAAAACCACAGTTTAGATAGAAAACATTATTATACAATTTGTTTTATTTTTAGTAAATTATATCTTTCCATAGTTGAACAAAAAAAAATTGCGAATAATTAAAATCGCATTTTATAAAAACACTATAAAAAAATGAAATAACTAATTAAATTCTGTGAAATATAGTGTAAATTGCTTTAAAACAATGACCCTGTATTTCCTTAATAAAAGTTAACAAATAACAAATAAATCCTTTTTTTTTTGGTCATGTAATTTATAGTAACAGTAGGATACTGTTGAATTTTGTGTGTTTTGTTGTAAATAATAATTAGCTTTTTTAGAAAATATTATCTATTATTAAAACAAAAATACATAATTCTAGTTTACAAATAGAAAAGAAAAAATATAATATAGTTTAATTTTGCTCACTATCGCCATTCGCATTAAAACTTTACAAATGTTTTAAAAAAATGACAAACACAGTAACAAGTAACACAAAAGTAGATGCACTCGCATTTGACGGAGCACTCGACTTCTCTTCCTTCTTATCTTCAGTATCTCCAGGAGATGAAGGCTTTTTATGTGCGGTTGTCCATTGGGATACACTAGTCGAGTGAGTGTTAAACCATTTGACGTTGTTTTCCGTTGTGGCAAAAGATTTATCAAACGATTGTTTTATATTGGCCGGCAAAGAAGTTTTATTTTTCAAAGACTGAAGCTATTTATTAAAAAAAAAACAAAAATGCCATAATATTAATAGAATTACATATTGTGGTTTGCATTTCCATAAAATAAATCACACTTACTTTATCTATTTCTTTATCAAGTACGGCATGTTTAGCCAAAGTAGAATATATAAACGTGGCCAGTTCATCTCCATTGAATAGTTCACTGAGGACGCGAGTTAGATTATTTGATAGAAAATCGGTTAGTACTTCAATACCCAACGGCGTTGACGATATAGCCGAAATGACACTTGTGTAGTCTTGGCTCCTAATCGGTCCCAGAGGTCCGTCTAGGACATGTTGAATATATCTAAAAGCATATTCGGATCAATCATTTTGATTGATCTTTCCACGCAGTGGATACGTTTTTAAATGTTAAACAATGGTGTAATAACATATGAAAGTTAAACCCAAACATATCGCACTCACTCAGATAATTTGGTTTTGTTTTTCGAGCACGCTAATGCCGTTTGAATAGAAAGTTTTTTTGAAGTCGAAGTGGTGGTCGTGTACAGTTTGAAAAGTTTGTCCCAATCAGCTGAAGGATTATTTCTTATTCCAACACAGAACGCGGCGTCTTTGATATCTGCGGGTATTCTACAAATAAACAACAATTAATTTACTTGTTACCAGCACACTTTTTTAGTATTTATAACTTTTCTCCGTTTTTCCATCGGTTGTAATAATTCAACGCCGTTTTTGTGCAGTGTTCATTCTCCAACTGACACGCCCATAGTGAAAACGCATCCCAACTGCTTCTGACCAAGTAGTTACTCTCTGTTGCTCGATATTCTAATTGTTCGTAAATTACACCAGACAGTCTGCTTACGTACGCCTTCAAAAAACAACAAGAACTATCTGTTTCGATTTGACGAACAAATTAAACAGCGCACTAATGCGGTTGTATTTACTTTTAAATCTGCAAATTCTTGTTCATTCCGTCGCATTTTCTCCAGCAAATATGTAAAACCGTTTTTGGCCGAATACCACGGTATGATGTCGTCTTCTTTTTCCAAGTACGTGGACAGGGTCAGAGGCACCGAAAAGTTCAATTTTCCCGCGATAGCTAAATTAAACGAATCGTCGATCAGCTGAGCCCGGTTCAGCACATGTATAGCTTTGGGCGAGTCATTCAATTGCTTTATCAATGCCAGCCAGTTATCCGCGTCGTAGTTGACTCTATAGAATCCTTGACAAAAATAAAACGAATTAGGAATTCTGTTGTTCAAACCGATTATTAAACTCACCTGATGACTGGATGTTGAAGACATACCATCCAGATTGTTTTGGAGCCGGGATGACTGTTTGGTTCTCAGTAGGCATCGCCCACGCAGCTGGCGTGAGGGAGCTAAAGTTTTTGCTATTCTCCGTAGTGTAAGTGAGTCCTACCAACCATTTATTCAGCCCGCTGCTCTCGTTATGACTTAAAAACCGCTCCTATAAAATTCATATACCAGTGCGTTCCACATTATTTGGAGTTTACACACATGACTAGTCGGCCAAGTCTGTCAATTGCATCTTCCACCATAAGCTTAGAGATCTTAAGTCACCTCAAAGACGGAAGATGCAATGGCGTAGAAACGTTGCAGGCTAGTCAACCTATTGCAAAATAGTGGACTCTGATAACTGACCTTTGTATGAACATTGGCGTAACTTAAAGCAGGGGGCTAATTATAAACCTTACTTTGGGCTGTGCCGGATTTTAGAGCCTGGACAAGTTTAAAAAGATTTGACCTTCCCTAGTCCCCCTCTAGTTGCACTAATGTGTATGATCAGATTTGATGGACAATACCTGTAATATAACAAACGTATTGTTTTCCTTTCTGATACTCAGTACCGGGTATCCGGGTTGTTCAGTCCAAGATCTCATAAAATTAGCTACTGTCACGTTGACACCTAAACTGTAATGCTCTTTATCTACAACTTCTTGCATAGAATTGAATAATTGTGCGGGAACTGTAGCATTATATCTGAAACAAGTAAGCATATAAGTTTAACGATCACGATTTGTTCTAGTGTTGGTGTCTCTTATGGCGACGATACATACGCGTTGTCTTTTAAGTATAATTGAAGCGATTTTTTAAATATGTTTTCCGTCAAAACATAATTTAACATTCTTAAAACGGACGCCGCTTTGTTGTACGAAATGATATCGAATATACCTTGGATTTCTTGAGGACTTTTCACTTTCGCTGTAATTGCATGTCTGTCTTCTTGGTCATACGACAAAGCTGTCTGGTGCTGTTCTACGACAAACAAGTCTCCCAAATACCAATCGGGGTAGCTCTGATACAAAAACAAGTATTTATTTTAATTAAAAAAATAATGATATTAAAATTCCTTATTCTAACATTTCATAGTGTTTTATGATTATTATATCACTCGATACGAGATTTATTAGTTTGACTTCTTATTAACAGCAACATTGCATTGGATGAGTCAATTTTCCACCATCTTAAGTTTTAGAACTTATTAATCATCGTCTGCTGCCACAAATCAATCTATTAAATGATTAGTGATCCAGATGAACTTATCTTTCAAAAACCTTGATATTTTTCTCCGCTTAATACAACCACATAGTATTTACATCCATAAAATTATCTTTTTTTTTATAACATTATCTATAAGTATCCCTAAGCCTTATTTCTAATATGGTATCTTTAAATGTTTTTTTAATTTTTCAAGTGCAATAAATTATAATTTAGTTACGAGTTATGTTTCTAATAATGACTCCCTACCATACTAGAAGCAAAGTACTGGAAATATCGAGCAAATCCTTCGTTCAGCCAAAGGTAGTCCCACCAGGAGCACGTTACCAAATCACCAAACCAAGTATGAGTTAGCTCGTGTTGAACCACCATAGCACCACGCATTCTTAATTTTGTCTTGGCATATACGTCTTTAAACAAAAGACATATCTCCCTAAAACAAAACAATAGTAACATTAACGTTATATGATTTATCATATAATAATAATTTGTCAGAATTTAATTACTTCAATAGAACACATCACTAAATAAGCGTTAAGTATTTTTTCATAATGTGAAAAACAAACATAGATTAAATAAAATACAACAAATTTACTAATCCAAGTTCATCATAATATTATAATTCGAGTATTATATAATACCATAAATTGATATTTTGGTTAGACTAAAATAGGAATGACTTTAATCGGTTTGATAACCAACATTTATGACACTTCACACTATAAGTGCTATACAAAAACGCATGAAATAAAACTTGAATTCACAGTGTCACTGTTTGGAAGGAATTTGGGCTTATGTTATAGAAGTTATTGAAATAACTGCATTATATTTTACTTACCTATAAGTATTCATACCCCAATTTTCCATCGCTCCGGCGGCAAAGTCCGGTATAGCCAAAAGATCAATTTTAGGCAGCATTAAACTGATATTTGTGTAACTCTCCAAGTTTGACAAAAGTTTTGGCGCCTCGGTCCATATGTACTTGGTCTGATTGATGTATTCTTTGCGAGCATACAGTTGTATTGTGCTAGGTGCCTTGCCGAACTTTTGGAATTCTCCCACGTAAAACGATACTAAGTAGGTGGACACTGGAGGGGTCGTATAAAAACGGTCGACCACTTTATCGCCCGGTTTGCATATACTTCTGTGCAGAACAATATCAAATGTAGGTCTTATCATATTCGGTATAAAATCTTGGCGACCACTTACCCGGCACATCGTCCAGTATCGGTTTGGTTCAGCGGCATGTTAGACAATGCGATTTGATCGTATCTCCTGATTACCTTTATATCGAATGGAACTTTTATAGAGGGTTCGTCGTAGCACGGGAACGCACGCCTAGCATAAGTCGGTTCAAATTGCGTAACGGCCAACCATCTGTATGGGAATACGGTTCGATCAATTAACTGACTTTCCTGGGACAACTATTTTGTTCCGAGACAATAATATAAGATAATTGGAAATCGTTTTATAGTCGATGACGAACATTGTGTTTATAAGAGCAAAATAATATATTCTTTAATACACACTTAGTAGCATTGTTTTCGGTGTAAGAGCTCTTGTAGAATCCCGTCATGTCGTTCCGGAGTTTTCCGGCAAAAGAAATTTTCAAATAGTACTTTTGACCGCTCACCAAATCTTCCTTGACGTGGATTTCGAGTTGTTCGTTTTTGGTCATCTCCACTATATCGACCACAGATATGAGCCGTCTTGATTGTACATCGCTGACCGAGACGTTGACGATGCTAAGATCTTTCGAATTCAAAGTGATGACTCTTGTACTCTGTGCCTTAATGGCAACGACAATGGTGACATCACCTTGGAACGTGAAGTTTTCGTGTGGCCCTTCGAAATTCGGGTCGATGGTTAAGTCGTACGACTCTGGCATGATGTCGTTGGGCAATTTGAAAACGTCCATTTTGGCATCGCCATTTTTAACCGGTTCGTCGATTCCGAAAACCGAATTGCAAAATATTAACAAAATTACTGTAATAATTGTTGCCGTCATTGTTCTGGCAGAGTTTTCAACCGTATGACAACTACCTGAGCGTTTGAATTTTAAATACTTAAGTACTTATGAATTTGAAATGATAACTTATCTAATCTACGAAAACTTGTCAAAATCCACAAGGATTAAGGTGACAATTAAATAATGCGTCACTCATAAAATATATGTCTACATATAATTTATGTTACGGCGTTTACAATGCATCAAGTATGAATAATAAATTTATTATATTGCTTATACGCCGCTAAACGGGTGTGACCGTTTTCCGCCAAAATAAGTACACTCGTTTATATGATATCTGTTTAATAGTTAAAGTTTAAAAGGCGGGATTCGTATTTCGTAATGGAAAATCTAAAAAAAAAACAATATTTATTTATTGGAGAAATAATATTCAGACCATTAATTTGGTTGACTAAACTCATAATGACTAATTCGATTTTATAAAAGGTTTAAAAATGTATGCATTAGTCAGAAAACTATAAATATATGTTTTAAACTAATCATGGTCATCATATTAATAAAAAAGTAGGTACATGCAATTTTTTAAAACAGCCAGAAAACGAAAAATGTTCTAGTTAGCCAAGTCATTGATTAATCTGAGAAAGATTTTTTTTGGCAGAAAAGGGAAAGGTATACTTTCTGGAAGTTATTTAATTTAAATAACTATGCTTATGCAACAATAAGAACCTTATGCTACCCGCTTTTAGCTACCTGCTAGATCGTAACATAAGAAATAGTTAATAATTTAATATTTTGCATAGTATTCTCTCTAAAATAAATTGATAACTTTAGTATTTTGTGGATAAATATTTTTTACTTAAGAGGATTGAAGGCGGACGGGTTATAAGGAGTTTTATGGAGGCAATAATCAAGAAAAATAGTGTTTTAACCCTTCACTGCACAATGTTCCATATATGGAACAATTGTATTTATTGTTTATATCTGCTCATGCTATACATCTTTGATGCACAATGTTCCATATTTGGTACAATTCTTTAATTAGCGTTTTCCAAGAAATCAAAACTCAAAAAAAATTTTTTAATTTTTTTAAGCAGTATTAAGTACATTTATATTATATGGTTAAAAAAATGCATGTAGTGAAGGGTTAATACATTTTGACATGCTAATTTATTAACAGATTATTTTTTAAACCCATCAATGTATTATTTTTAACTTTAGTACAATTCTTTTATTTAGAAAAATGCCATTTTAGTTTTATTTTAGACCTAAGCCTGACAAAATTACTTAAGATGGTCCGATTTCAATGCTGTAAAGTGATTCGAGTTCTTTGACTATTTTACTAGGTTAAGTTACGTAGAAAACCTATTTTCATTTGAAAAGTTTAGTTTCTTGTAATTAAATTAATTAAATTTGGAAAATTTTCAACATTAAAAAACAATTTTTTTACATAAAAAAAGCAAAAAATCAAAATTCTCTTAATCAAAAATTTGCCTTTAGCTGATTATTCAAAAGAAAAATATAAATTAAGGTACAGGAAAATATTTTAAGCAGACAATAGAAAACATTGTTGTTTTTAACATTATAACGTTTTAATATTAACCTACCATGTTACAATAAGAAATTAAAATAAAATAAAATAACATAAAATGTAAATAAACATGAAAAATCGATTTTTTTCATATTTAATAATTTTACATAATAATATGAAAATGTATGTAAAACGGACAAATACAAAATAATTAAAAATATAATTACAGTATAAAGTGATATCCAGCTTCGATATCTTTTGTTATACCAGTTTTGTTAGTTTTATAGTACATTTTGTAATAAAAAACAAAAGTAAAAATAAATATTTCGTAAAAGGTAAATAGTTATATCTAAATAAAATAAAAAAATAATATGTAAAATAGAAAAAAAAAACACTAATGTACTGTCATAACTCGTCACAAACTCAAACAGGGGTATTGTAACTATGTTTATATGTTAATAAATAACATTATGTAGTACTACCGTATAATAATTATAAGGTGTGTATCGTTCTTTCAACGAACAATTCATCAGCCTATTAAATTGACCACCATTTAAGCGAAAGTTTTAGCCACCCAAGTGAACGTGATAATGTACAGCACAATAGTACAAACTTGAGAATTAGCCAGAGCACTTGACGGCTCGCCTTTTGGAGGTTTAATAGTAGTCGCCGATTTCTCAGGATGTTCGGGGTCATCGGGTTTCTTAGGTTCCGGTGGTTGGGTTGTTAGTGACTCTGAGTACTTACGAGCCCAAGTGCTCACGTCGTTCTGATTTGTTTCAAACCAAATCAAATTGTCTTCCACTTGTTTGAACGCCTTATCGAACCGTTCGCGGATTTTCAATGGGACATTCGAAGCGTTTCTCAAACCGTCCATCTACACACATCAGTCGAATTACAATATAATATAATGAAAACATCAAATTTGAGCATAAATACCTTTGCAATTTCGTTGTCGAGCGCCACTCTGGAAGCCAATAAATGATAAATGGCCATCGCGTGTAAGTCTCCATGGACCACTTCGTTAAGTATCTTTTCCGTTTTGTTGGTCAGGAAGTCGATCAGAACCGAAAGTCCTTGTGGCGTGAACGCGATCGATTGATAGATTACTCTGAAATCTTGTTGACGAATCGGGCCGTTTTCTCCTTGAAACATAAAGTCCAAATATCTGAAGAAGTAATACACATGTAGGTAAGTACAGCACATTGCGGTTAGTGTAATTCATCTAGTCCGTATCACGTGTAAGATCATAATCATTTGTTTTACATTGATAGTTGCTCGGTTTCCTTTGAGCACCCCAAAGCCAACAGTGCGGATTGTCTGTCCGATGGATCGTCTGACGTTTTATACACCTCGAGAACACTATTCCAAGTAGTCGAATTGCCGTTCTTAACGCCGACACAGAGAGCCGCATCTCTAATATCGGCTGGTATTCTTTAAGACAAAAGTACAATATAGTTTACACTTGTTACTTTGGATGAGAATCAAACTTTTAAAAATCTAACTCATTTCGGTCAAAAATTGAAATCTACTCTTTTAGACATAGTTTTTCAAGAACAAAAGGAAACAATTGAAACATTAGCGATAATAGTTTACTCACTCTTGTTCGTTTTGCCATTTATTGAAATAATTCAAAGCGGACGCCGTACAATCTTGATTTTCCAGTCGGCAAGCCCAATTCGAAAATGCATTCCAACTGGTTTTGATGATGTGCTCCGTTGTTTTATCTTTTACAATAAGACTTTCCACTCTCTTGTACACGGTTCCAGCCAAATTACTGGCATATGCCTAAGTGAGTTGGACAAGTTGTTTTATATTTTTATTACAACAAATAACATCTATAAGGTATGTAGGGATGCAATCACTTCTAGTTGGCTATAGCTGTCAGGGTCTCTCCTCATTCGATAAAGTAAGAAAGCCAATCCGTCCTTGGCCGAATACCACGGTAACATATCCTCTTCTTTGTCCAAATAAGTCGTCAGTTCTAACGGAACCGTGTAGGAAAGTATGTCGGCTCTTGCTAAATTGAAGGAATCATCTAACAATTGAGCTCGATTGAATACGTTTATCGCAACTGGTTTGTTTTTTAACTGTTTCGTTAACGCATTCCAATTGCCAACGTCATAGTTGACTCTGTAAAATCCTGTGGAAACAAATGGCCATACTCAACAGCTGTATTTTCTTTACTGTTATTATGAACATCTATTACCGGTCGACTTTAAATTGAACAGATACCATCCTTCTTCGTTTCCCGCGTCAAACGTCGTCTTATTCGTAGTCAGCCATACTTTTGTAGTGGTGTTTGTGAAGTCTTGTTTTGCTTCTGTGGTGTAAGTCAAACCAACCGACCATAGAGTGGTGTCCGTCTCGTTTGGCGGCGTTATTAAAAATCGTTCCTGCAATTATTTTAACAATAGAAACGTTTGTCTCGTCTAAAACATGTTTTAAACGACTTACTTGTGATACGACGAACGTATTTTCACTCTTTTCGACACTAATCAAAGGATACCCTGACTGTTCGGTCCACGAAGTGGCAAAACCATAGAAGTCCACTCCCAAATCGATATCGTTATCACTTAATACCTCCGAAAAAGCGTTCCACAAATCTTTCGGGGTAGCCGCTTTAAAGCTGAAATCGATAATGATATGAAATAACAGAATAATGTATTGATATCCAATAATTCAATACCGTCTGTCCTGTAAGTAGTTATGCAGAGACGCTCTAAAAATGTCTTCTGTTACAATATATTTAATCATTCTGAGAACAGCGCCGGCTTTGCTGTAGGAAATTGAATCGAACATTTCTTTAATCTCGTCTAAAGTCTTCACGGGCGAGGAAATCGGATGTGTAGGCTTTTGGTCGACTTCGAGAGCCCACTGATGAACTTCGTAGATAAACGTGTCCTCCAAACGCCATTCGGGTTCGACCTTGAAAAAACGAAACACACAAATATTTTATCGACAACCGATAGTAATATTTTCGCGGTTTCATCAAATACCTTTTCTGCAGCGAAATATTCGAAAAATGTCGCAAACCCTTCGTTCAACCACGTGTCACTCCACCAAGCACAAGTCACAAGATCACCGAACCACTGATGAGACAACTCGTGTTGTACAACGGTCACGATGGCTTCTCGACTCTTTGATTTTGTATTATTTGTTGACAACAAAAGCCTTTCCCTGTATTTAGCAAATCAAATGAAAACAAGTCAATATATTGAATATCGCACATATATTTGAATACATCCTGTATAATAAACAACATTAACAGCTTACAAAGTTAATAATATTGGACTTGCCATAATACCCTCGGCCTCTCATCTCGAAAACGACACAAAATAGCGTCACGAAACTAGCGCAAAAGTGGGTGCTTTTTTTAATAATATATATAAAATGTCTTTTATTGTGTTTGGCAATTTTTTAATGTTTTTAGACCTTGGCAATTATTATACAGTTATAATTATATTCAGTGCATCAAATACCTAAATTATTTGATTGTTGTATAAACTTATTATTAGCCATATTTTATATAATAGATAAATTGATATACATTCATATTGTTTTAAGTTAACCACGATAGGTACAAATCCATTATAGGTATTTTTTTTTATATGGGTAACCAAATATTCATGCTAATAAATGAAAATAATTTTACAACGAGCACAATTAAATGAATGGTTAAATTTATTCAAAATAACTGATCAGGTGAAAATTTGAAAATTTGGTCATAACATAAAATGAAGACTATACTATCATCATATATCGCAAGGAGATAATATTTTCCATGTTTTATTATTTTAGCCGTTAGTCTTTAAGTAGACTGTAACTTTTTCCTTTACCTGTAAGTGTTCATTCCCCAATTTTCCATAGCGCCGGCTTTGAAATCCGGTATGGCCAATAAGTCCATTTTCGGTAGCGAATATGGTACGTATATGTAATCTTCCATGGCATTTAATAAGTTTGCTGCTTTTCCTACGATATAGTCGGTTTGGGTTATGTAGTCTGCATGTGTGTACACTGCTATGGATCGTGTGGTTACAGCCTTTTGAAATTCGCCCACAAAGAAAGCTACTAAATAAGTAGACATCGCCGGAGATTCTTGGAAATGATCCCATACAAAGTTTTTGTCACTAATTCAAAAAATACAAACTAAATAGCAGGTATAAGAGGTGGAGGGAAATATAGCACCAAGTAACAAAAGCATATTAAAAAATGATTTTTAGTTTTTGACATTTATAATAAATTTCCATGATATTTAGTTAGATATAACTTATACCCAGATTAACCTAGTCGGTTAAAGTAAACACAAAATAAAAGAACCTCTAAATTATCAATATTATTGTTTTTGTGTCTATTCTCTGGAAATACTTACTTGACATCGTCTTGGGTACTGCTTAATGGCAAGTTGGACAATGCAATTTGGTCTTTTTGTCTCCTAACGGCCACAGTAAACATTGCTTTGAGTGCTGGTTCGTCGAAACAAGGAAACGCTCTCCTAGCATAAGTAGGTTCGAATTGCGTAACAGCTAGCCATCTAAAAATAGTTTTGTGTAAAAAGTTATCTCTTTTCAGTCTTGTTATCTTATTTTTTTAAATAGACCTATACAAATATGAGTATCGCATTGATGCAGAAATAAAAATATATATATTTTAGTGATGTAAATAATATTATATACTTAACTTAATATGTATTAATTACAAAACTAAAACGAGTTTATCTCATAAAAAAAAAACGCAGCTATTGTATACCGCCTACGATACTTTAAGTATTATACATTTTATGATACAAGCAAATAAGATAAGGTATACAATTGAATGTATTTGATCTTCTGTTTTATGTTAAGAGTTGTGACTTAAATGTACCTATAGAGAGAAGTACCTTAAAAAAACGGTCTGAGCACACTGGCATTATGTTGTTATTAGTTAAATAAGCTATGCCAAACATAACAACCAATGTAAACCAAATAGATAGCCTACACTCAGTATCATTACGCCATACATTGGCAAGGTCATTAAAAACAAAACGGTATACATTATGAAGAACTGTTACCAAAGCTATGCGCTCAGTTTATTATTTTTTGTGGTAGTTTTTTATTTTTTTATTCTTTACAATAATAGACAATGAATAATCGTGTCGCAATATTATCCGGTCCAAAATTAATTCAGATAAGGTGTCCTAATTTAAAACGGAAATCCTTAAACAAGAGAAATTCGTTTTTTTGCTTTATTTTCTTGTAAAACCCTATTGAATCATAATACGGTATAATCTATCTTTGGATTAGTATTTTTGAAATCTCTAGTTTTAAATTTGTATTCTTTTCTGTCTTTAGTTACTTCATTTATTACAAAAAAAAAACTGCGATTAACAACCTAAGAAATGTGTAATTTAAGTCTTTAACCTGTCAGTACTAAATCTAAATAACGATAAGCTACAGTTGGGATTAACACTGTTGTTTGTTTATGTTTTGTTGAATTGAACTTTTTTACTCAAGTAGTTATTTTTTGGCAATAATCAAATAAATCTCTGCAAACTTGACAAATTCGACATTTTTTACTGAGAATTGTTTATCTAATAAACATTTTTTTTCATAATCCCTAATTAGAGGTAGATAGCAAGTGCAGTTTAGACTAAAATCCGGTTCTACCGGTGTTTTATAAAATTTGATTGAAATATAGGTATTGTTGTAATAGCGACGGTTTTGTCGACTTACTTGGTGTCGTTTCCTTGTTTATACGAACTCCTGTAGAATCCGGACATGTCATTTCTGAGTTTGGCATTGTAAACGATGGTCAGGTTATAGTTTCTGTTGGCCAAGAACGGTTTGCCGGCCTCGATGACGAATTGCTCGTTTTTTTCGATCGTGCGGTATTTCAAGTCCACTATTGCTCTGCCCGTCTTCAGGTCTTTCGCCGTCACCTCGGTGACATTCAAGTCTTTCAAGTTGAGTACCACCTGTTGGGTGAGCTCTACTACTTTGACGGCGATAACCACCTGACCGGCGAACGTGAACTCCTCAAAGTTCGGCCGGATGTGAATCGCGTACCTCTCCGGAACCACTGTGTCCGGCAACCGGAACACGTCCATTTCGTCACCGCCATTACAGGGTGCTGCATTCTGACCGTACCCGTTGAACTGCCAACTGTAGCCGGCCTCCCTCTGGCCGTGCACCACGTTTACCTGGAACGTCGCAAAGACCGTGGCGCCCACGATGAACAGCAACCGCCGCACTGCTCCAGCGTGCCCGAACATGGTTTAATAATAAAAATATCGAACTGAACCGCCGGCTCTTCAACCCCGGCCGTTTTATACTAATCTCGTGTTTGGATAGCTTATCGAACAACAACGTCGTAAACGGTATTGTGTTCAGCCTTGTAGGTAAACCCTACACCGAAGATAACACGCATGCACTCGAAAGTCAAGCTATATTGCGACCACACGAATATGTTTTTAACCGAATAATAATACCAGTAAAATTTTTTTCAAAAAAAACCGTAACACCACAGTGTTAACTCTGGGATAATTTCTCAGCGGTGGTCGAATCGACACAGTTTTGTACATTCCCAACGAAAGCACGGTGCTTATTGAAATAATTATTACCGTGCTGTGGAATGACACATATTATATCTTCATACTTATTTTTATCTAATTATTATTTACACATTGGGCGCGCAAATATGTCGAGACTCATATGTAGGTAAATACTCTCGTTCAGATAGGTACCCAAGGAACTGATTACGTTTGTTGTGAACAACAAATGTGTTGGAAACTAAATGCAACAATTAAAATAATAACAATATTTATAATACACACTTGGGGAGTCGTGCAAAGCCGATTGTTCGACGGCTATATACATCATACTCATTGTCGCCGCCAAGTGTGTAGAAAATATCATATCAATTTTAATCACATTACAAATCCTACCTACGATTTTTGTTCGTTGTGCGTAAAACCTTGGAACAACACTTCTAAAAGTAAAAACAATCATAAATAATATTCACCTTGATATTACCATAAAAATCATTCTCTACACAATAGTACCGCGATGTGGGTACCTATACCTGTATGCGCTCACGTTAATTGTGTTTATGATCTATTTCACTATGGCACAATAATCTTATATAGGCATATTCGTCGTGGCCTTTATGCCGACCGCCCATGTGTTCGCCCTATATTATTACACTGACGTTTTCCTGGCATGTAAAGGCTTAGAGAAACACACGAGTTTCATCAGATGTCCCATTGGTATATTAAATCATTATATGGGGGATAGATCCCCTCCTTGAACCGTTGTCTTTTTATAGTTTTCCTTACTTCTCAATATACTATTACATTTGTGTCCATCTGTATTTTTTAATTTCGAACATTCTAAATTAGTCTTCAGTAAAAATGTAACACTTATAATGAATAAAAAAAAATGATAAAATTTCAAAACCGTACTACAATTATTATCGACAAAGTGGGTTTCCAAAAATACATTTAACATTTGCAAAAATAAATTTAGTTGCATTGAAAAAAAAAATAAAAGACTAAGTGCTCGCTACGGGTGTTATTGTACTATTTTTACGCGGCCTTTAAGTTTTTTCGGGTAAAAAAAAAATCGTTTGTCAAGAAAAGACACGAAGCTTTTCTTAAATATGACGTTTTACGTTTTTAGAACTATTAAAAAAAAAACCTACGGTGGTTCGCTCACTTAGCACTTAAAAACGCCCAGGTGTGTTTTGTTTCGAAATCCATCGGTGAAATAGAACGTACACCGTCGGGCCATGGACTGGGAGAGAGGAAGTGTTAAAAAAAATACTCTCCGTCCAATAATATGACGTTCCCTGTCAAAGTTTGCCCTCGCTAAAATGATATTTCCAATATTATAAACAAGGCGTACTTGTATTATTTTTGGAAACCCAACTCTTTCCTTTTATCTATCTCTCTCTCTCTCTCTCTTCCACTCTCTCCGGCCCTAAGTCTGTCTGTCTGCCCGGTTAGGGCGTAACCTTTCTTCTTGTTTGCACGATTCGATAAAAAAAATTATTATTTCATTCGTTTCAACTTTTATCGTCAAATATAGATTATTTTTTTTTTACATAACGCCGCCAACTCCTTGGGCGCCTCCAGTTCCGGTTCAATACCGACGTGTTTGCCATTGGTATACCGACGATGATGTGATGCGCAATCCGGTGACAAGTTTTCTTAACAACCGTAATTTAACGGATTAGCCAATACTGAGAAAATACCCGAGTTTAATTTGATTAATGGCCGTCCGTTCGCGACCATTTTTTAATTTTTTTTCTAATTATCTAATACAATAGCACAAAATAGACAATCACAAAGGAAAACCGTCACCTGGTCCATGTTGAAATCACAACACGTTATATGAGTAGTTACAGCATGGCCGTCTATTCATAGCGTGACCGTGTAGCTTGCTCGGTCCCAGACCGTATAGTGTTGGCTCTTAAGTTTTTGTGATTACTCGTTAAAAAACAAAACAATAAACAATCTTAATAAATGGCTTACAAGGGGGTGTTCTAAAAAAAATGATAAATTAATGCCCGGTAACTTAGTAAGTATATACAACAAGTTATGATATTATACAAATGTAACAGAACAGCTTTGGCTGGTAACAGAAAAATAAATAATAATACTATTTTTTTGGTTTTGGGAATGAGAAAATTATCTCACATACTTTACACCAAAAGAAACGGTTTTACCGAGTTAGTCCTCTCGCAGGAAGTAAAATAATTGTAATTTTTTTTTAACACTGGTGATATCAAATATAATACCGTTGTCAGCTAGAATAATATTTGATAGCGGTTAATATTAAAAGACGATCAGCTAATAAGATAATTAAATTAGTAAATAATTCTGATCACCATCAGCGTGTAATGTAAACGAGACATATATATATATATATATTTATTTATTTATTTTTTATTGAATATTAATTCCAAATAAAAGTTGTTGTTGAGCGTGTGGTGATATACATTTTATCGTTAAACAATACTTGTTTGTCGTATATTTAAAAAGTCAAATGTAAATTCTGACTGAGGTTAACACCGAATTACCGCTGCTTAAAATTCGTTGTTATCGCACACACAATTTTAAATTAATTTTCCTATTAAAAAAAAAAAATGTCTCAGACTGGCTAAAAACCAATTGTGTGTGATAGGTACCTACTTTCATGGCGTCTGGGTGTTCAATTACCGTGTTGTAAAACGTTTGTAGAGGCGTTGACCGAATTTGCATTAATGCCTTATGACGGTATTTCGTGTGCGTGTATTGTTTTGTATTTAAATTAGTTTCCAATGAATTGATTTTTTTTTTAAAGACGTAGGTATGCCAGTTATTGCCATCAAAGGTCAAAGTCATTCAAGGGCTCGGACCTCGGCCGATTTTTCACCCGATTAACAGCTATATGATGCTCAAACCAACGACAATAATTATTATTAGACAATATTATTATACAGCTGTTGAATTGGGAAAAAATGTTTTTACTTTCAAATCCGTCCCCGCCCGTTGCTGTTATGACCGAATAATAAACAGGCAACAATAATAATAATTGCTCGTTTTCGCAATAAATCCTTTTGATTGATATTTGTTTTTTGACACATTATATTGCATATTATAGTTATTGGAAAATATTAAATAAAAAAATTCTACACCAGTGTTCTCTGTAAGTCGTTAAAATGAACTATTATCAATAATAAAAAATATCTTATTATTATTAACAATAATTTTCTCTACATTCATAAAAAACGGCGTTTATTGTACGGTACGGTATAATCCTCGATGGAGTTGCTTGTAATATTATAAAACTAAAAACAAAGATATTTTTCATATTTAAATGATTTCTGCCCCGTTAGTTGGTTACCGTGAAATCGCCGGTGGATATCTTTTATCTGGTTTCCGAATAAAATTAAACTTATACACACTGCACATGTATGCATTTAATATATTATCAAGTAAAATAATACATATTATCCTACGCTCACACTAGGAATAACAATACTAAAAAAAAAATCTCAGATTATTATACACTTTATTTCTATCCGTTTGTTATATTAATATACATAACATACTTACAATATGCCAGTTTGAGTAATTCGCGGCCGTTCTTCAAAATCCCGCAACATCTTGTAGATTATAATAAACCACACTATAGGCCATTATTATACGGATTACCGCACCGACTTTGACGTTTGAGTTAAGAGTTAATGTATAAATGTATTACAATATGGACCCCCCCCCTCCAAAAAAAAAAGACAAGATTTTTAGCTGTACGTGGACACCCAAACGCGAATAATTAACGACCGGCCGTGTTATTTCGGTTTATAATAATAATAATATGTTTGTCAGATGAGTAAATATTCATTTTTACAAATTCGTTGAATTTAATAAGCAACAAATCTCTGTGTAATCATATACCCGCTTACAGTTTTCTACAGGCTGTGGCAAATCAGTACAACAATTACTGGTTAAGACGGCTTACCAATACTGTTATATTATTACAATACAAATATGTTTGATAGGTAACACTCTCAGCTTGCTATCAAAACGGAAGGGAAACGGAACGATATCGTTTTTAAGGCCATTACTGCAACAAGATTTTCAAAATCAAAACCAGAATCGATAGTGTAATTATTATTTCAGATTAATCAAGTCATAACGACATGACAGACGGTTCGAGTATTGCGCTCAGGGTGTATGCACGGCCAGGTTTTCTCTCGGTTTACCGACTTTAATGAACGGCCACACGCAAAACGCCGCCATGGCTTCTTATGCAATAATTAAAATCCCGTCAAATGATTTATTCAGATCGGCACATACGATCAGACCACCCCTGTAGAGAAATACACGGTCGTGCTTTGCCTTCATCTCGTTCATCGTCTACCCGTCGACTCTGCGTGTGCACTATTGGTTTATTGGCTAAAAAAATATATCATTCATGTGTACAAAGAAGAAGAGGCCGAAACAAAAAACGGTTCTTATAAGAACTGTTTAACTGGCTGTCCGTCTCTACCAAAGGCTATTGAGTTTTCTCTTAAACCGTTTGACCGATACCATTTTATTTTGTCAATAGTCGCCAAGCGGATTCCACTTCCCATATATAATCATCGAATAATGCATAAAATAAATGTTGAACTTAATAAAATACAATTCAACGATAATACTAATCTTGTTGGCAAATAAATAACAGCACATACTTGTTAATTATGTTTGCACAATGATAGAATTGAGAATACATGTAGATATTTTTTATAATGTATCAAAACGTAGGGAATTAATTCCCTATAGAATTAAAGTATTTACAAGTATAAGAACAACAAGTTTGACCATAGAAGTGTTAAAAATAAGTTTAAATGTATTTTTCCGGCGATTTAAAATCTAATTTTATATTTAACTAAATGACTTCCATTTTTTGTACTTAACGTGGATAAAAATAATTATTTCTACACATCAAATTCGTTCAACGCAATCTATTAAACCTGTTATGTTAAACAGCCACTGTTCAGAAGTTGGTGTACTTATTCTGAGTAAAGTGTAGCTTTCAAATTAATAATTTACGTTAAACACTATAATTATTTGTCATTAATGTATCCAAAAGTAGGAAATACAGCAAAAACACCATCATATATTACACTGATTTTTTTTCTATCTAGAATTGATAGCAACATACATTCTGCGGTTAAAACGTTGTTGCATTGACACTAACGAGGTCTATTTTTTTTTTTTTTTTTTTTATAGTGGTTTCAATTTTATAGTACAGCACAGCCTAAACCGATGGTTGGCTCGTACCACAAGTTTTTGGTACTGATTAGCATATGACAATCATTGGCCATTGCATTATAACGTTATAATATCCGTCGGTGCGATTAAAATCTTGTTTACAACAAGTCAATCGTGTCATCATGTCCAATACAAAAACTGCCACACTAGATTTTCGACTGGGGTTACAATATAGGTATGTGTACAATATAATAATTATTACAATTTAATAAAGTACAACATACTTTATAACCCGCTGAGAGCATACCATGTAGACACACTCGACCGAAACGACTCTAAATCCGTTTTGAACGTCGTGTACCCGAGCTCTATATTTTTCTGGGTTGCACGAACCGTGTGTGTGTGTGTGTTGTTCCTTAGTCGTCGACTTGTTATCTTGTTGGTGCGATACAATAATAACAATATTATAATCATTATTAAAGTGTTAGCGCCGTCCTTGCAATTGTCTAAAATACAATAACGCGTTGCCGGATGAATGAGAAAAGTTACAAAACACCGGAGTATACCTAAATTCTGATTTGAAATTTCAAGGAGCCACAACAGTTTTCGAAAAACCGAGCTGTCGACATAATAATAATATCGTACCTACCTAATATTATAATATGCCACCGTTTTCCCTCCGTTAATAATTACTTAACGCACAAAATATAATGCTTTGACAGCGTCTAATTATAATACAATAGTACCCATAGAAACGCTGCACAATGTGTATAGGCGACAGGATTAAATAGGTTCGGTATGAGGCGAAAAAAAAGATTTATAAAGACCGATTAACATGGTAGGTAATGCACATAATATTAATAAAATACAAGTACTTGAGAAAATTGTAACGTTATGAGTTAACGCGACGTTGCATGTCGCACTTCGACATCAATACAAAATTGTACAAAAAAAAAATTAAAAATAATACAAGTGATTTTTATAATACTTTAGAGAGGTGAGCAAGGAGATAATGTATATTCTTAAGGGTGCGTTTGTTTTCTTCGACATCCCTTTTGGAAATCAATGAAAAAATATTAAACAGATCTTTTTGTCGAGTCTGACTTTAAAATGCCAATAACAATATAGTTCTAATAATATAAAAAAAACTAAATAAATGTACATAAAAAGAAACAGGTAAATACTTAAATAATAAAATTAATAAATTTGGTAGGTACATTTAATAAAAATCACATAATATATGGTAACGTTCTAAACGTTGTACTGCAACCAGTAGGTAGCCTCCTCTAGAGCATTTGTGTTTGTCAGTATCAGATCTTCTTTGGTGCATTGTGCTGGACTCATGTTGCATGACAAAAGAGTGTTCATCGGTCTGTCGTTCTCCACATTCACAAGCTTCATCTTCTTCACTAAACAGATAAAAACCTTTTTTTTTTATTTTCACCTAAGTGGCCTTGCCAATTCCTAGGATAGGCGCGATTCTCAAGTAGGTGTTTTATTTTTAGATTAGGTGGATTGCATGGGGAGTGAGTGCAGCTACCATAGAGCGCGTTCTAATTAAGGATATTTTTGAACGGTTCACTATACACGTTGACATATTGTAACACAGGGCGCAAAAAAATGTCTTGACCTTGGGCAGAGACTATTTTTTTTGTCCTTTTCGAGAAGACGATTTTGCAGTTCAAGAACAACGACACTATTTGTCGTCTATACAATCGTTTGTATGGAAATATGTACATTATCCCGACGATAACGCGTTGGTTATTTTTTAATAAACATGCACAGAAGAATAACGTTGTCGCCGGTTTTTTTATTTATTTATTATTACATTATAAATAATTTGTGTATTTTTTTTTAACTTCTTATAAAAACCAAATCGTTGTAATAATAATATTAATGTGAGTACATATATGTTCAGCATACACACATATACGAGTGTGCCTAATCGACGGATTTGGATTTATTCTTTAATTTTTTTCTTTCCGCCGTTGAAAAAACCCAACACGCCTACGTCTGCGCATATTATATGTATTCTCGAAATTATATGTAAAGAAAAATAATGTGTATAAAGAAAAATGAGCGTGATTGACTGACGTCCGAGATTAATTTAAAGCCGTGACTGTCGAAATAGCGCCGCTACTCTATACACACAAGATAATATAATATTATAGGCAGCTCTGCATTATGTATATGACCGTTTCTTGGATATTTCTACTGTGGCCGCTGTAGAGAACCTTAAAGAGTGATGATGGCCCGGTGAACCGTTATCGACCACATTATCAGTGCTGGGGCTCGTGATCCTTGTGCGAAATTATTCTGTCTTGAGCAACTCGAGAAATAAATATATTGAGTATAAAAATGTTATGACGTGTAGCACTACATTGAAGCTACTAGCTAGCTAACAATAAATATTACTATGTGTTTGATTTTAAGTACCTATAAAGCAGGACTACTATATTGGTAGTGTGTAGATGTTCGGTATTCAGTTAATAACCCTTTCAACGCAGTAAAATTGTTGAATTCCTATATAAGACTATTTATCACAATCAAATTCTACAAATCTTTGTGAGTCAACAACAGACTGTCTACTACTTCTATCATGAGACGTGGAAACAATTGGAAAAAATATACACAATTTGTCCAACTATACTTTTAGTTAAAGCAACTATACATTTAGCTCGGTCCAACTATTTGTTTAGTTATTCTAACTAAAAGTGTATTGTGTCCTTATAATAACCATAATTTTAGTCGGTCCATTTACGTTGGTTACACAATGCTTATTATTCCATGACTTTCTTAAATCCTATTTATTATGGGTAGGTTATCAGTTTTGTATGAAAGCAGAAAGTGAAACCGATCGTTACCAAACTATTTACTTAGGTACGTTTTACAATAGTAATTATAGGTCGAAAAGCTGGTTTAAAATTAATTAATTGGAGTTACTTAGCAGTTTTTTCATGTTGCTAAGAATGTAAGAATTATTTCTTTTACCTATGTATGGTTTAAAAATGCCCAACGATTAGTTTGCATTTAAAATATAAATATATAGTTGAATTCTTCTATTTCTCTGTTATAAACCAATTTTTACACTACACTTACTGATAACATAACAGTTGACTAGGTACCGTTAATATTTTAAGTGAACTATTAGATAGCATAATATTCTCTTATATAATATAAAACCGGCAACTTTGTACTTAATAACCATAATTATTATTATTTTAACATTGAAGTGTGTTATTTTTAAAAAGCAAACTTATCTATCCACTATAGATGAAGTTTTAGATGTCGCAATAACTAATGTTATTATTCCATTGTAATAAATAAATAAATAAAAAAATATTAGCAAAACCACTCGTGTCGTTATATCTGAAAGAGGCCAGACAGTAAATAATTCTACTGAAAAAATAATGGCACTACTTTATTTGCAAAACGCCGCAACTCCTATTTCCTAAGAACTCAATTTACCTGACCACGCCTTTGTGTACACCTTCAATCAATAATCTCTCGAGCAGTACCATTAATAATAGTTTAATTCGGCTAAAACAAAACAGGTGATTTAGATGAAAGTGAATTTCACCAGCCGCAATACAATAATTAATAAAAACAATTTCGATTAAAATAATCATATCGTACAACTAATTTGGAAATCCTTAGAAAATCTTCGTGCATTTGCGCTCATTGTTATTGTATACAAATTTGATAGATACGTTTAAACGACATAAATTATAATCAATAAACATCTATAAATGGTCACATAAAAAAAAAAAAAAACGTAAATTGCTATAGTATCAAAATGTGTACTTGAAAACGTTTTATAGTCACACATATAAAACGATTATAGCATTAATAAGACGATTTAATACCGACGTGCTGGTTGTGTAAGTGGGTAAAAAATTTAAACGCCAATATTAAGTGTAGGTAATTAAAGACCCTTATCGTTAATAATGTTTGTTAAATATGTCTGTAATATGGTTTTTGTATAAAATTATTCAAAAACCGTAATAACCATAACAATCAATATATAGTTATTTATCTTAGTTAGGCCTAATTTTGTTTTAAATACTATTAATTAAAACATTTAACTGTGCAATACAACTTATCTTGTCCAAACAATTTTATATCACAGTTTTTTTAAATATATATTATTTGAATCAATTGGACATACTATGTAAAATACGTATCATATTTTAATGAAACTATTTACAATTTTTCAGTACTTGTGTCGTTTGAATAATAATTAAAATAGACTTACATAGATAGTATATACATTACATTCCACAAAATATAATTAAATGTGTGTTTTCCAATATAAACGTATAACAGTTTAGTGGCTAAACATATTACTGTACACATATAATCCCCTCTCAACCATTGTTTAGGATACATTTTTTTTTTTACAAAAAAATATACTTCTGCTGATGCCGTATGTAACCATATTGAAATTAATTAGCAGACCGTGAATTTAATTTTTTTTTTTTTATATTAATTAGTACAATTTTAGTACACCATAATAGCTTATAAGTATTATAGACTAAATCTTTTAATGATACTCATGCGATTGAAACACACGGCGCACAGTATAGGAGCAATAAAAATAAAAAATGATTAATTTAAAAAAAGAAAATCACCGTTGGAAATGAAATATACAGCAATTTTTTTTTTTTTTTTTTTTACCAAATAGTTTAACTATTAACTATTCGTGTCCAAACGATAAAACGAAAAAAACAAAAAAAATACAAATTAAATGATTGAATTCCAATCGCATTTCTACATTGGCATATGAAGGACTTTCGTGATATTAATTTAAAATCAAAAAACGCCGTTTTGTGAGCCATGTGGTCGACGGCAAACGATAGTTTACAGATTATATATATGTATATATATTTTTTTTTTTACTTAAAACACACGGTTTATGATTGAAGACCGTAAACCATCATTTGAATAGCTCGAATTGAAAATATAATGTAAAAACATGTCCAGTTTAAGTGTTGTTCATAATTATTGGCCATTAAACCAAAACGAGTGTTTTTATAAATACTATCCAAACATGCAAACAGGATGGCATCACTTTAGCCAAGCCTCATTCTATAAATATACACAAATTTTTATATTTTATTTGCTAAATTTCGTTTTTTAAATTAACTACCGTCTACCGTTATTTAAGTTTGATATAATATTTAAATTTAAACTCACAACAGGCTTGTAGTCATTAATGCCTTAGAAATAGAATTGTCAGACTCCATCTAGCCTTAAAATATATCCTAAAAAGATAAGTATGTAATTATTGATAGTTATGTACTGTTAAACCAGCTACAGAATACATTAAATTTATTGTATATGATCAAATTGATTCTCTATTTGTATGGGTATTATAAAAAAACATCAAGTGCCATAAAGATACACGGTTAATCCTAAACCATTTAATTTCTACCTTTGATAAAAGTTAAAACATGTACATAATTAGTTTTAAAAATAAAAATCAATTGCGTGACTTGTTCGCTTGTTTTAAGCGCAGCGAGTAAAAACCGAATAGCAGTTATTGTGTTTTAAGGTATTCGAGTATGAAAAAAAAAAAGAGAAAAAATACCTAAAAGTCATTGAAGAGTTAAGTTTCTAAGAAAAAAAATACAAATTACTCGAATTTTTTTTTGTGCAGAGATGCCAAAAACAAACAACAAGCCGGTTAAGAGTACAAATAATATTTAAAAAAATGATTTTAACAGGCACACGCTTGACAGATTTCGGCAATGTCTGGAAACTGAAAAGGCCTTGAAGACTTCTTTACGTGGAACTCGACACAAGTGGTTTTTGAGCAATATAATTCAAACCTAAACGAATGCTGTTCTTACCTTCATAAATAGCCTTTAGACATAGGTAAGACGTGAAGTGAAATCAGGAAGTAAATTAATTGAAAATTGTAAAAAATGTTAATATATTTTACAATAGAACGTCAAACATGATTTAACAAAAGATCAGATAGTTGTAGAAAGTTTGTATGTTTGAGTAAACATAACATAAATTATTCTTAAAATTACCATATTATAATAATGGGATGATTAAAATATAATAATAATAATTTAAATGTATAGTAAAACATATATTTTATGACTTTTACGAACACTATAGAGCACTCTAGGTGCGTTCTTAATAAATCGCCTGTGTGATATCAAAAAAACCTCAAATAGATTCGACAAAAACATTGCACTCTAAAATGAGACATCCTTGACAAGATAACAATATGTGGATTTAATTTTAACGGAATATTTATACAACAATAATTTAATGCGGTCCCTAATAAATGTGTAAATTATAGATTATTATTATTACTACAAGCTACTCGAACCTTACTTACTCGAATTAAAAGTAATAATAATGGTTATAGGTACAAGATAAGATCTATGGGTAATCTTGGTTAAGCTCGGCATTCGAAAATTTTGATTATTTTTAATAAATTAAGATAGATTGTTTTTTTTTCTATTTCTAAAATAGTGGTCTCATTTCCAATATGATTTTAAATACTTTATAATAAATATTTAAAAACGTGCATTAAAACTTGAAATTTTTTATTCTTTGTGTACCTCCTCCGACGAGCAGCCAGGCATATTATTAAACTACAAGTCCAAATTTATTATATCTAGTTTTTTTTTTCTTTTTAAAACCACCAAACGAGTAACTTGGTAAGCAGTCGGCTAATAAGGTTTAATGCTGTACATACAGGTTTATTGACCAAAAAAAAAAAAAATGTTCATTTAAAGGAGTTACATATTGTGTACAACAAAGTGGAGACGATCGGCGTGCAACAGAATCTGGTTTTTCGGACAATAAATACACCGAAATTTGGACAAGACCAAAAAAAAAAAAAGTAATAATAATAATACCAGTTCAAAAAAAAAATATATTTTTCGCCCTTTGTTTTATCCGCCAACATTATCGTTTGTTGTAGTTTTCAGTATTTTTTTATTATCCCCCTTCAAGTACACTTCGTCCTTACCGTTGCCATCACAGCCGCCGCCGCTGCAGACAGTTTGTATCTCTCATATTTCTGATGATATGTCGAACAAGTTTGCCTCTGTACCAAAAAAAAACATATACATGTATAATAATAAGTAAAGAAAAAAAATGTCTTTATTGCTTTAACGCAAACGGTTTTAATGATGGTTAAAACGATTTTGTTAGCTAATGTATTATTGAATGTTTTTTGGCTAAATTATATTTAAAAAAAAAAAATTCCCTTTAGCGTTCAATAAAACAATAAAATTTACCGACTGAATCCAAGTTAAAAGTTATCACTAAGTGGTGTGTTAGACATTCAACGCAATTTGTGAAAACTATATCGAGGATTTAATAATTTTTTTTAAATCTACACTTATGCATATAGATAATAAAACACATCGAGTACCTACTTATGTATGTATTCATCGAATCCCTCATTGCACAGTACATAAACCGAAAGAAAAACACCAACATAATAATATTACTTTGGCTAATGTTATTTTAATTCCATGTTTTTCTAATTTATATTGCTATACAAATGTAATAAAAAGTCTGATAATTTAGTTCTTAAAATGCCAAAAAACGTTAGTTGTTTAAAATATATAATTGTAATAGGTATTTAAGACTGTTTACTGCAATATTATTAAAACCTTAAAAGTCGTTTACATAATTTATATTTAAGTTTTTTTTTTACTAAAATTGCACACTAAGGTATAGTTGATAAAAGTGTAATCTTTGAACGGCGATAAATATAATAATATATGTATCGTGCCATCGTCTAATACGGCTAATTAATTTATAATTTCTTATTATCAAAATATAACACCAACACTGCCATAAGAAATTATAACTCTACAATCGCTATTATTGGAACAAGTCTTAAATTATCAGCAAACGTCTGAAATTTTAGATAAAAAAAAAAAATGGTTGGATTTGTTCGATTACAGTTTCGGATTCGTTAAGTACTTTTTTAATGTATCTTAGATATCTAGGAAAACTTGATAAAAAATTGACTACATAAATAGTCGAGTAATAAAATAATTGAAAAAGTATCAAAGTTATTCAGCTTAAGACTAAGTCGAACAATTTATATTGTTGTTATATTCTAAGTATATTTTTAGATTTTGATTTTTGACCTATTATTTCAAGGTATTCAATCCAATTGAGTGTACCATTTGACTTATTAAACTTTGAGCCAATAACTGTACAGTGCATATCACAACTATGCAACTTTCAGCGCATTGTTACATGAAATTATATTTTATAGAAATTCAAAGTAATCTCATTATGTACGTTTATTACTAGAAATACCAACAGAATTGTTTTCACCTTCAGTTGTAGTTAAGGTGAGGGTGAAGTGAATCCCTATATGGATGTTAAGACACGTGCAAAATTAATTACCTACTACTTAAAAAAAAAACACTAAATAATGGCAAAAATTTAGATAAGTAATATTTTTAAGTATATAATTATAATTAACTATGCATATCGGTAGTATTAATTTGATATTTTTTTTCAGTTTAATCATTATTACAGTTGGTAATAAAATGTTTATGTTATTTACAGAAAAAAAATAACTGATAATTACATAAATGATAAAATGACGCCATGTCTCATTCAATTAGCCTTCAGGTTAAGGTTTTTTTTTTTTAGTCAGATGACATTAAATTTTTTTTATAATAATTATTATGATTTATCAAAGCCTTGGTATTTTGAAAACTGAAGTTGTAAAAAATAATATTTAAATTACAACATATTGTATCACATATTTTGCATGTATTGTCCTATTGATAGTAATTTCATCTTTTAATTTACCACTTGATTAGGTTAGGTAGGCCTGTTAGGTAGGCCAGTAAGTGCACATTTATGTTGTCAGTCCTATACAAATATTGGTACATGGTTATTGTTGGTTTTTACTGTTATTTGATTTCTTCATAACGTACATTTGTATTCTACGATCAAGTCTAAGGTACTAAGTAAACTTCCAAGAAAGATAATAGAAACCAGCATACACATATTTCATCCGAAACATGGTGTACAGTATTTTAGTTAGGTACAGTTAAATTACATATAAAAATATAATACATATTATTATAATTTGGAACCAATTTAAAGTTAACAATAAAATGCATATAAAGATTTTAGAATGGATTTTTTTTACTGTAGATAATTAAAACCTAACGACACACAGTTGTATCATCATACAACTCTTGAAAGCTAACACTACTGTCTATATTATTTTTCTCTACATGATGAAACCTGTCAAACATAAATGGTCTCTTTTAATAGAACATAATATTATCAAATTTGCGGACAAACATAACTTACTGCAGTGATGAAAAACAAAATTAAGATTGAACATTACACAGGCACTCGAGTCGTTTTGACTGCCACGTGTGGTAAATTATATGAAGTAAGATGATGAGGTGAAGAGCAAAATAAATATAATTTTCGAACTCGTCTTCCATACACACACACACGTTTTTCTCGGTTTTTACCATTATTTTATATTGTTTTTTATGATTTCGGTGTGGGATAATTTTATTCTCTCCACGCTTCACTGGTAAATCGTGTCGGTTCAAGAGGTTTTCACGAGAGTCGTACAAAAAAGATGCGGAGACGAGACGGATAGAACGAGAAACATTTAAAACAAGACAAACACACACACATATATAACATATTTCTATTTTATAATATTATTTGTGTGTGTGTGTGTGTGTGTGTGTAATGGTTGGAAAAAAAAATTTGGAATGTCTCGCGAGCACTCGAAGAATCATTACACTCAAAAACCCATTGATCGCCTCCACGGCTGTGGCGGTCGGATCGAACCCGTCCGTCAATAACTTACTGGATTCCGTGGGAATGCGACGCATTACTACACACAGCTATAATATTAATAATACCGAATAAAATACAAATCTCGATTCTCATCGTTTCGTAAAATATGCATACTTGAACACATAATAATAATAATATGTATTTGCAAAAGGCACCGCATAACCTATTCCTATAATATGTATATGTATGCTAAGTACAAACACGCAAAATATCAACGAAAGCGGTCCCAGTGCGTTCTTGATGATATTATTGACATTTAAAAATGGGTTTGATTTATAAAAATAGGTGTAGCGGTTATGCAACGTTTTAAAATAACTGCAACATTGCTTGAAAATATTCGTCCGTTAAAAACACAAACAATTTGTAACTTGTCAATTTGCCAAAAAAAAAATAGTAAATGACGAAATAGATTGGAAAAAATACACATATTATACAAAATATAGTGAAACGGACGAATTCAAACAATTTTGATGAGTGCAGAACGTTGCTATCATTGAATGTGGCTGATATTGAGTTAAATAATTGGAGAAACAGAAGGAAGCTTTGGAGTGAAATGACTTGAAATACACAAGTATAGGTGTAAGAGAGAACCTTGAATTTAGTAATGGAAGTTTGTAGGGTTAGAGACTAAGATGAGAACCATAGTATTCGCTGTTGTTGTAAATAAAAGTTGAAAAATATCTGGTGGTAGCATAAAATGTGGTTGAATGAAGAGCAACCTGATAAAAGGTGATTTAGAAGTTGTGCCAATAGCAGGAAACATTCAAGTTTGTTTTTTTTTTACCTCTTCTGTGTGCAATTTCAAATAAAAATATAATAACCGAATCAAAATCACATTAAAACAAAATTTATAAGTCAATAACACATTTGTAACCCGCACATTTTTTTTTACCAGAAATAATATGGGGCTTGGGAAGTACCTACTTATCTGCTCAAGCACTTAACTGTGACGGTAGTGGTATAATTAATGCTTACTTGGCGATTTCACAAAAGATAAAGCTGAAAATCTAAGAACGATTTTGCGAATCATACAGAAACAGATAATACACACTTTTAAGACTTAGTTCCATACAAATCATGTGTGTGTGTGTGTTAAACTGGTTTGATAATTGAAACGAACTCCTTTTAAACGTTAAACGGAATTTCTAATATTCCTTTTTTGAAGAGTAATTACTAAAGAAGTAGCAACAGTTAGAATTGAAGGTTGCCACGGTTGGTTTTTTAACGTGGTTCGCGTAGACCCTTCAATAAGTATTTGATATTTAGTGTGTGTGGGTAACGTTTATCAGTTTTAATGGTTTTTATTTTTTTAAACACTTATGGAATAGTGATCTGAAAATTAAAAACGGTAACCATTGGTAATTATACACTTCTTTAGTTTATGCCGTTCATTTTTGCTTTGTGCGTTTTAAATATTAAAACCGTGTGAAACGTTGAAAAAAAAAATATTCACTTCAATCAATAAGATAAATTTATAATACCGACGTTTCATGGTCGGTCCATACCAAAAACTACACCTTGTAATCATAATAATTAGTCGTGTGGTGTACAATGTACATATTACATAAGAAGGTTTGCAAGAGTAAATTTATCTTTAATGTAATCCGTGATTTATAATTGAGATAGTATTCGCAAGTGTTGTATAAAGATAAAAAAAATTATCCATCATTGGGGTACAAGTAAACGACAACAAACACACTTAAGTCAATCCAATAGCAATTTTATCCGATTTCCTACTCAATAATGTTGTTCTGAATTTAAGTATGTTACCTAATTTGTGCTGTCCTGTCTAATCTACCTTTAATGGTGGGTGGGGGGAGGCAATTTTTTTATTTTATTCATGTGGTACAACCAAGTAGCGACAAAATATACAACGTAACAGTTACAACATCTGTAGCACCTAAAAAAAAATATTATTCTGTTAGCAATTTTCATTGTAAAAATGGTCATTTCTGGAAACGAGTGCTCGTCTACGATACAACGGCAGTAAAATATTAAATTTAAATTAAATAATATGCCAACGTGCCACGGTGGTAGGTATATACGATTATAGTTTTGGAATCGCATTTACAAAAAAACAATACCGTTAAAAAATCGGCAAACGTCTTGAGAATTCATAAGCGAAATCAATCGATTTGTAGTCAGTCGGGTAGTGTAATAAATAATAACATTTTAACCACAAGATGTAGAATATATTATTATTACGGACGGTACCTTATATATTGTACAATACTGTTATACATTTAGTATGAAAAATAATTCTCATACAGTACAGGTATACAACACAACCGTAATTCAAATATCCGGAAATACGATACGGTGATGAATCGGCGCTCGGACATCCGGCACAGTGCA